GGGGTAGAAAGCGAAGATGCTCGAGCCCCGCATTCTGCCAGGCTAGAAGTGCAGTTGCGACTTCATTAGTTTCTGCCATTGATGGGGATTGGATCTCTCTTAAAAGCGGAATTGTCGTCTCCGCTGTGTTGTTAAGATTACAGACCTCATAAGAAGGAGTGGCGTGTATTGAATGCGCAAGCCCTTGTCTTGCTTGGGGTGGCTTAGGGACCTTTGAGGAGGCGCCGCTGTTAGCTTTTGAAGCCCGGGTTTGGGGAGCGAGGGCATAGTCTAAGTCAGAGTGTGAGCTTTCTTCGTCAGAGTACTCTGGCATGAGCTCGTCTGCGGAGTCCATGCTCATATTTTCTTCTTGTATGTCAGGTAGTTTTTCCTGGAGAGCCGCTATCAATGCTTCTTCACGGTCGGTTGAGAGTGAGGAGCCTTTCTTTACGCGTTTAGAGGCGCGGGTGGGTTTGCGGGAGGTTGGTCCCTGAAACAGTGTGACGGGGTTTTTTGCCTGCCGGGCGGCATCTTTGTATGTCGTATTTCGGATATAGATCAGGTGAAGAATTTGATACAGATTTGTCTAAAAAAATTGATGGAGAATGATCTTTGCCAGCCACTATGTTTTTTTTTTTTTTTGAATCATTTAATGTGTAATCAGCTATCTAGCTATGACACATGACCGGCGCTATGTATTCATGTGGGATGACTCATTTGAAGTTAGAGACACTCATACTCTGGATTTCATTTGCAAATACCACTATGAGGTATGTTCGCTTACACAAACAGTCGACCCAACTCCGTTAGTACCCACCAAAGGGAATTTCAAAACCTTTGATTATCCAAGCATGCCTTCGTTATCCATGCATACCATCACCGCGAAAAATGTGGTTGTGTTTTGCCGGATTCGAACCAGCGATCTACTGTCTCAAGTGGGATATGTGTCCAAGCTATCCAGACTCTACTTGGCAGACCGGCCAAGATGATGTACCACCGCACCATGCAACCATGGCAGTCTTTATAGTGTCGCCTGCACTCAGCCACTATATTAAAAGGGTCTGTAGTGAGTCTAGTAATTTATTTATTTATTTATTTATTTATTTTTAACAGGTCTACCGGGCAATATCAAAAGACTACAGCCCCATCCCTGGGGGGACACGGTGACTATTATATTCTACATTCTTTTCCACCCTATGGGAGGCGATCAAGCCTATACACAAACTAGATAAGTTACTGTGAGCGCTGTGCAGCATATCCCTCACAAAGGTTGATTAATTGACACGGGTTGGGCAGATTTCTGACAGAAACCCACTCCTCTCCAATATAATAGAAAAACGCTTAGCACCACGGGAGGTGCCGAGGAGAAAAGCTAGTGTGCCCAAGCTTTGACGGTGACCATTGGAGGCCAATCTCTTTCGAACGAGAGGGCAGTGAGTCTAGTAACATGTTGTGATTGACAAGTATTAGCCAAGATAGGCACGTGATACTAATCATGCACGGACTTTAGTATATGTCTGCTGCCCAGTAGACTTAGTAGATGTCACATCTCTCATATACCAACTTTCTAAATACAACACATTTACGCATGGCACTGGTCAAGTGTTGTAACTAGATAGCTAAATTTACATAAATTGGTTAAAAAGGGGCCTTAGTCGCTCACTACCTATTCCTGGTGTCCTCAACGAGCCCCTTGAACTCACTAAAAACTTTCGAGAAGAGATTGAATTCAATTCAAGATTGGAGGATTTCAATCGTCGAAGATTATGTGGCATTTCCCTTTATTGGAGACGGTAAAGAAACTTTGGCTGTGTCAGTGCCATTTCATCATAACTTTCGATTTACATAGAGGTGTGAACTAAGGATACTATCAAAATGAATCTAAGAATACAGAGGGGCTCATTTGGATACGCACTTTTATGTAGTGTTAGATTGGCTAACCACTCCGAATACTTCCGAATACTTCCGAAGGATAGATGTACCTATGAATTGAATCCTAATTTCTGCTTAAATGGAATCCCGAGCTCAGAAGTTTTTTTCTGAGATTCCAGCCGCCACACATGCACTAGTAGCCTTCATATTGTTGAATAGAGAAAGAAGATAGTTAAGGTCAAAAATTAGCTCTAAGTTTGTGATCGAAATTAGACTTGTGAGAGACTTTGTCGTTTAATGGAAGACGTATAGAAGGCGGGAAAGGTGATTTACTTCTCGTAAATATTTACTTGGCCTGCGGGGAGAGGATGTACATATCCTATCAAGCCATATACAAATAGAGGACAAGATTTATAAAATAAATTTAAAGCAGCTACTAATGTGAACAAATATATATGATACACAATTGTGTAGCTGATGATATAGTAAATAGAAGATGGCACTAGTAAATTCTCATGGAATTAACGAGACCGGACATGCGAGTGTGGTGGCTCCTTTGAGCCTCATAATAATATATTCCTTAAGAGCCAAGATTCGATTACTTCTCATGCGTGGACTAGAGTCCATTCTTATCAATTTTTCAGGCGGAGAGAATTTTTATTTACTAGATTTTAGCCAAAATCTTAGACTGTAGAAACTTCAAGTTTTAACTCAAGAACAAAGGACCAGACCACCAACTAAGATTGTCTCAAGCTTGATCAAGTACCACATAGCCCCCATTATACTGTTAAAATTATCAATTCTTTTTTCTCAGATGACAATATGGCTTGATCGCGACTTGCGGCCCCCATACCAACACTCTCTAATGTCTCCTGATCATATCCTCAGAGTCTAGTTTTGTTTTGTTTTAGTATTTTTGTCCTAATCTAATCCTATTTTTTCCACAAGAGGTCAGAGTCTAGTGTAGTGCGCCGGCACGACGTAAAATAATCTATTGACCTGAGGCCTTCCTGCACCAAAATTACTAGTTCGAAAAGAGTTCATTCAATCCGTGGGAGACTGACGCCTGTTAACTAGGTAGGCATGATCAAATGCAGGTATGGTAGTAATAGCTTTGGATGACATTTATCTCCGTCAGCCATGTACTAATTCCACATCTCCAGATTTGATAAGAGCATCCACTTCACCTACTCTGTGCGCATTGCAATCGAATGAACTGCCGTAATGTGTTACAATTTTTTGTGTGAGCTGATACCTTTCACCTATCATCCTCGTAGGTGGTGAACCTGCGTCGAGAAGTGGTACAGCAAAGTAGGCCAGCAGAGAAACGGTTAAGTCGGCTCCTAGACCGTCCTTCCACGCGAAGGCTCGAAGGCCCAGACGATCCCCATCAGTTTGGTGTTTGCAAAGGCGACAGTCAAGGTTGGAGGGCAAAGTGGAATTCAATCTCGGATATCCCGGTGATGGACCACCCCTCTTCGGTCTACTGGGAGACGACGGTTAGCGCAACCAGCGTCATTAGGTAGCAATCTACCTACGATCATGCTAGTCGGGTCCATACTTCCCTAGCCACCTTCTAACGAGCCTTAAGGATTATGATGGCACTGGCATCATGGTGCAGGTCGGGTAGACTTCAAATTTCTAAAGAGATGCTGACACACTCACATTACCAGCTGTAAAGGGGATTCCTGTGCCACTGAAACGGTCCTTTGGTTCGGTAATAGACTAGAGGGCATGCATAGTCACTTCGACACGTCTGAATAGATGTGAGCCTAGAGAATTGGTCAAACTAAGTTTTTGCGGACAAAGATCTTCAGCAGCATGAACTTCCTTAGATCGACGATTTAACTCGCCGCACCTAGAGGTTATGGGATGAAGGAGTACGATGCAAAATGATGCCACACACAACAGAGGAGCGGGGGCTAGGGGAAAGGATGGAGGATGGAGCCGGACTGTTGGTGGTTGGTAAATGTGGATAGGTGCTCTCGGGGCCAAAAATGGTAAAAGATAGCCTATGTTACACAGGACAGGGGTCGATAAAACTTACCCCATGAACTTGCATAAATATTTTGCCTTGCATAAAAAGCAATACAGCCCCAGTCAAAATTAATGCCAGTCATGTGTCATTTGTGGGATTGGGCCAAGGATGGATCCACTCCAACGCTCTCGTTAAAAAAATCCTTGTTCGATCACGGCCTCAGCCATCCTTGGGCCTTGACGCTTAACATATCCCTGGATTCTGGACGTCCTAGAACTATACAGCCCTAGACTGGGAAAGGACAATGCAACACCGTATCATTGTCATCCATCGGATATTATTTCACACATGCCTCAGTCAAGTGGCAGAAGGGCCGTTGAATACTGTTCCATGCTACCGCGCATAACGTCCTCTAAACGTTCCCGATAGCACCTACGTCAATCCACAGTTCCTCTGTAACCATACCAAGACCTAAACACGCCTATTTTCTGAGACGCCCAAACTTCCCTTCTGCTGAGCTACCCAGTACTTGTGCCTGCTGTCATTATTCGTCTGCTGTTCGCCCCTGATCATGTCCCATAGATACAAATGAAAATTATGAATAATCGATGCCCCTAACCAACCGACCCTTGCCCTAATAAATTTCAGCCATCAAATCTCTCGAAATCCGAAATAAATATCAATCTTGATACTGTACTCCTCATGGGACGTGCAGTTGGGGTCTCAAGACACAAAACTTTCTTGCGCCAAAACTAAGCTTTGCAGAGCTTAGCCCAAGTGAGCGAATAAATGAAAATCATCGTTTCTCCACAAACGTTCGTTGTAGCTCCGTTAACGTATTTTCTACCCCTCCATGAATTAAGGGTAGGAATACCTCAATCCAGACAATTCTTGACGCAATTGAAACGCTGAACTAACTGCGAACTTCGAGTAGCTTCTTGTTTTAAAATCATTCCATCAAACCCCCTTGACCTATCATGGTTAGATGGTTAGAGATCTCCCTTATTTGCTTCTCTCGCTCTTCAATATAATTTGATCAGAGAATGGAGTCTGAGGGTTAGCTCCCTATTTCAAAGGGAATTAATAAAAAGACCTGCGATTTAGCAATCTCGGGTTAAATTTCGGGGTTTTCGGAATGGTAAACGTCTGATTCCCCTGTAGACAGTAATTGCTATAATTCGGCAGCCTTTTCTTTACATGCGGCTGATGTGAATCCAGTACCTACTTTCTGTGCGACAATCCGCCATTTCTCCTGCTCGTAATCATGTAATGCTGTCCGAAGTTTTTGGACCTGACACGGATCAGCAGTGAATTCGTGATACAAGGGATGACTATTTACCGTTTCTTCGGTCCATTGAGTGCTTTTTGCCTTAAGTTTTGTGCAATATCGGACCTGTAATGTGCCCGATGATCGACCAGGAAAAAAGTCTGCAATCTGTTTCCACGTTAAGGATTTAATTTCCTTCAAATCAACTAGTAGTGCATCATCTTCTGGTGTAAACTTCAACTTGGGACCTCGGGGTCTTGGAGCGGGTGATGGCATCCCTTCCATCCCAACAACACTCGGTGCACTGGGTCCAGCTATAGATTCATCTTCACTCAGACGAGGTATTTTAGATTGATGACCCTGATTCGGAAGGGGATGGGTATGATATGCCTGTATTGTCTGACCATGAAATACTGTAGGTTTCTGGGGTATTTGAGCCTGGGTATTTTGAATTACTCCATGATGAATCTGTTGGCTAGACATGCTACTAACCTCTAGCTCTAGATCGGAAGGCCGCTGTCGCTTAATCCCCAAGGATAGTTGCATCGGCCGCGGCGGACCGTATATCATCCTCGGCCCGCCACCACTAGCACCACCACCAACACTGTTACTACTGCCAAATTGAGAAGAGGGGTGAGCCATCTCATGTTCTGTATAGATGGAGTGAGGTTGGTTATGGACGGCTGGTGTTTGGTGTCGATGATGAGTGTGTGAATGCGCTCCAAGGTGGGGTTCATCGATAGAGTTGAGACTTTCATGTCGAGTATCGGAGGCATGGGGAACATAAACACGCTCATCAGTGTTATGATGGGAATGCGACGCATAGCTTATATAGGGATCGTGTCCTAGTTCGTGGCCCGGTCGATAGTTAGACATACATGGGACCCTCTATAGCAACCAGCTGACCTACGACCTGCCAAGTTCGGAGATGGTTATGAGGTCGTCTGCAACGCGTAGAGATCTGGCCGTTGCTCTTAGAGACAGTCAGATATATTTCTTTAACTAAAAGAGTTCCACAAATTTCACCTCAATAGCGAGAGCCAAATTCGGTATCGATCGTTACATTCAGCTTATGCGACCAAGCTATCTGCCGTGGGGGTCGCTGTCCCACAATGGCGCGGGTGAGTTTGGATGAACGAGTGTTGGAAGCTGTTTTCAAAATCACGTATGAGACGGAAGACGTGGGCCCTCCCTATCATTATTTAAACCGTCTGATGTGGGATGATATGAGCATTGACGAGCAAGAGTCGTTTGGTGATCAGTGACACTGAGATGTCTGGAAATTTGACCCAGGCATACCCCAATGATTCGCACCAAACACGAACGTATTTGTATCGGGCCCCTCCAGCAAACATGATGCAGCACTAGGCTGGTTCAAATCGGGATTCAGCTTAATGGATTGTGATTATCACAATGTGAGCAGATCGAAAGGCCCTAGACGGCGCAGCAGCCGAAAAAAAAGAGCATTGATGACCCAAAAGGGTATGTGAAGGTAGGGAATCAGCAACTTCAGCGGGGCGTAATTATTACGAGCATGAGGGACTGGGGAAATGGCAAGGGTTTGGAGACCCAGCTTCTCCCCAGGATCCTTTAGAAGCCGCATGGAAGCTTTCCAAACAGGCAGAAGGTGATTGAAGGGGCTAGATAAGGGCCAAGAGGGACAGTCCCTGCCATATCTGTGGCCCTGTGAGCCCTGTACGTATGTCTCACGACGGACCATCTTTGAAACCTTCTAGGATATCGCATGAGTGACATGTCCTTGGGAAACGGGGCTCTGACGGCTCTGGCTGGAAGTAACAAGTGCGATTGGAACTAGCTTTTCAGTTTTTATGCATCGGCCTAGGATTCAGACGCGATAAAATGGAAAAAAAGGATGCGGATTTCTTCTCGGGGCCGGGGCAAATCGGAAATGATATTATGCGTCGTAGAATTGCAGAATGGCGAGTCCGGCCCAAATAAATAACGGGCGGAGGCAGGGGTAGAGAATGTCCCGCGTACGTTTTTTGGGAACCCGGTCCTCACTGTCAATCGTACACCAGCCTTCAGCTAATCATTAACATCCATGGAAAACTTATACAGGCGTCCAGTAAGACTCACATCACCTCTAGACCGGGCATTATAATCTTCTTCCAGGGCAATAGAGCATCGCGGCCCAAAAGAAGCGCATTTTGAGCATGGTGTCCACACGTGGCTAGACGCAATTTGAGATCGAGATACGCGCTGTCGGGTTTGCGAGAAATAAGCCTACCGAATACGGCGTCAAGCTTGGCGTAAGATCGATTAGAGTCAGGTTGGATACGTTGTCGTGCAAATGTAGAGTACTGGGGTCGAAAACCGTTACTCAGGGGTCTCGTGCAAACCCATGGTGGGCCAACGCAGGCTTCAGGAGATTTGGTACATTAAATCTGCTTCAAGGGCTCAATCAACTTGTAGTCAAACTACAGAAAAAAATATACAGCGGATTTTAAAATCGGCCACAAGCTCTTATCGCCAGACAATAGGCCATTGTACACAAATCAGCCTAAGATTCATGCATTCAACTTCGGAATTATCCGAGACAGTCTACAGTATTGTGTGATATGTTTATCTGAACTGATCTGTAAGGGCCCATGGGTGATGGTTGTGAGGATAATCTTGTCCTGTCCAAGCTTTACCTGCTGTTCAATGTCGATCAATAAATTTCCTATCCAAATAATTGGAACGGTGGGTTTCTTCACAACCCAATTGATTCAGACTGACTTTGTAAAAGGGGTCTGATAGATTATAGAGATATACTGGGGCAAAGAAACTACAATTCAAATAATGAGATTTGGCACATTTAATCTCATCCAGATAGACTGATTGTAAGAGATTTATTGAGCCCCTTGCCTTTGACTTTATAGCTAAAGTTATACAGTCGCAGTGGGAGAATATATAATTATTGTTAAGTGGAATTTTTGAGCAATTAATTTATCGAGTGAGAATATAATCTGATATCAAGACATTATGTAGATCAAGATTGCTGTACAAAATTAAAACTAATACAGTCTACAAAACGCCAGCCAGCCAGAAGTTGCTATAAATCAACAGACTCAGCACAAACCGTTCCTTCCCATTTCCAATGTAAAATACAATTAGGTTTTACGCAAAGTTATCATCTTTGTCAAAAAGAGTTTCTTCTATCTCTGCAAAAGACTGAAAGTGAAGTGGCCGATGTTCGGCCGAGTAGAATGGTATTGGAGTGTCAATCTTCACATGTACCAGTTTCCTCTCAATACTACCGAAGGAGCTTCCCATGAAGCTATAGTTCCATACCTTATTCTCAGGGACAAGAAAGTAGCCCCGAATTCTGTCGCTCAACAGCAGCTGACATTTTTCTCCCATAGAAGTGCTGAATCCATGTGGTTGATCACTTCCCATATCTTTATTCTCTGCACCCCATTTATATCCAGCAGGAGTTAGAGCCCAAGCAGCGAGAGAAACACTACCAGGAGTAAATGAAACAGTCATACTGACAGTCTTTTTGTCCCAGGTCTTGTGTGTGTTCATGAGACGAGAATGTTGGGTGACATCCATTGCAGTCATGTATGGAGGCTCATTTCCGGAAACCGTATGGATTATTCCGAGTGGTTCCATTTGATCTAGATATTCATGTTGAGGTAAGTTGTGAGGAAGCTGAATGTCACGCGTACTTCCAATTTGTGGGACCATGACTATACTTCTAATTTCTTTGACCTGATCATTATCAGGGGGCGATAAACCATAAAGATATCCTGCGACCTGGACTCTTAGATCAGCAATAGTTATAAAGCGCTTGAGTATATTCTTTGGCATGATGTATGTAAAGTGATCATCTTCTTTGATATCGTCTGACGAGATATAAATATTGTTTGCCCTGGTTCGAAGGTTAGATGTTGCAATAGCACGAGTTCGCCATTCAGTCTTTGACGCAAATGTTTGCTGCTCGAATCGAGATGTGGTTGTCACAATTATGTCTTCTCCGTGCACATTCTGGGTTTTTGTAGTTACAGCAGTTAGTTGCTGCTGCTCTTGTTGTTGCTTTTCAATTTCAGCAGCCTGTTGTCGTTGCATAGATGGTGCGCTAATCTCCATTCCTAGAATGATATCACGAACTTCGCTACTTGTTAAACTAGATGTATTAACGTTGTTCTTTCTCCCGTAGTCATTTAGAATTAGATCCCTTAGCTGTGTCTCAACTTTTATCCAATCTTCATCTGATAATGAAGGCCAAATATGATGCTCCTGAGTGATGATAGTTTTATCAGGTCTAAGGAGTAGCTTTGTCTTATCTTGGTTTACGTGGAGAGCTCGGAGGATCAGAATAAGTCGAGAGAAGGCGGTATATGATGATATGGACTTGAGCCATTCATCATAGAGATTGAAGAGAACCATTTGAGGCTCCGTGGCGCGAAGTATCATGTCACCAAGCTTCTCAACCTTCATAGCAGCTTGGAATGGCAATTGAAGTTCTGACGCACGAATAGATATGTTTGGGAAATCTAATAAATGTACTTCGAGCGGGTCAAGAAGACCTTTCCTGGTAACTATCAGCTGTTTGGGTTGTTCTTCAACTGGCAATGAACGGATTAGTGCAGCCACTTCTTCAGCAGTTTTCCACTTTGCGAGCTGTCCCAAACGCTTTTGACCAGCCCAAACGCTAGTATGGATTATTTTGAGGAAAAGCTGCCCTGTGCGAGGATTAAAAATAAATATAGCACCGTTAATAGGTTTGGTGGTTAGATTTCCTTCAAACGTTTTATGAATTGTCACGCGGTAGACGTTTGTGTCATCAATGAAGAGTTGAATTTGGTTGCTAAAGAGTTCTGAGTAGTTTTGGGAATTTAAAAATTCTTGGTTACTTTCGGATGCATAGAGTTGAAGACCCTTGCGGATGCGCTCTCGGAGGACGTATAAAGCGGGATTCGCTTTCATGATTTTGGCCATCGCTTGCTGGATAAGCGTCTTTAACCCAGGGAAGTATTGTCCATAAGCTGAATACAAGTTGTATGCTAGGTCAATCCCAATCATTAAGCCTGTCGCAGAAGGATAGATACTCATGCTATCAGTTGTATAATCGAGATACTTTGCGCGCACGTATCGTTCAATATCATGAGAATCATAATCACCGTAGCGAAGTTGAACATCAATCCAAAACTTATTTGTTGTAGTCGGTTCAATAACATCCTTGGTATCAAAGAGAATTGATGGTCTGGTAACATTCCATTTGTGACTTGCAAACAGGAGGATGTCAGCACAGGAGCTATTCATTTTGTATGACTTTCTAGGATGAATTGTTTCCTTCTGAACCGTCTCAATCCCCAGTTGCTCAAGCTCTTGATCAAAAACCTGGCACAAATCCATTACAACAGATTCATGTATTTTTTGCCACAAGTGTGCACGAAATATTTGAATAAGGGATATTTTAAGCGTCGGAATCTTTCCATGAAGGAAAATACCTGTTAGATCAAGCTGAACCTGAAAACCAACATAAACATTGGCACGATTGATTGTTGGAGCTGTCTTAAGTTAGTTTTGTACCTGAAGGTTTGTGTCAATAGGTAGACTTACACCACCATAGAGTAAATCTTCGATTAGGTATTTGGTTAAGACCTGATCTCTGAGCATTTGTAAGTTTCTTGAACTTCATACTCTCCTCAAATCCACTATTGTGCAATACAAGATAGTCATGACGTAAATAGAGATGGTCTTGGTCAACTCGGAAACCAGCCCACTCGGTCTCTTCAGATTCGAGATAAATATCTTCGACATTTATTCGTTCGGCATGTTTACAGACCTGTTGTGAAGACCCATATCCAAGGAGTTTAAAAAGTAGTAATTCTTTTCTATCGTTGTAGTCTAGAGAAGCAAACTCAGCGGCAGTCATTTCGACAACCTCATAGCGAGTTTTCTCGTCTGCACTTGTAAGTTTGTTGTCAAAATTGGTATTTCTATCAGAGGTAATTTCTGTTTCTGGCGAGCTAGATTGCGAGGCAATCGGTCGGTGAAGAACTAGAATGTGGTTTGATGTGACAACAAGGTCTTCCTGGTTAATTCCCATCTTAATCCTGTATAGGCGATCTCTACCACGAACAATATTGAAGGCACATCGAGGACCACCGTCTGGTCCGAGGAGCAAATCACCTTCCTGAACATCTTCTACTGCTATTTTGCTACCATCAAATTGTAATAATAATGTTCCTAGGGCGAGACATGCCTTCTCCCAAAATAGACCTTCCCAGGAAGGAAATGCAGTTGCTTTAAAAAGAGTGTGCTCAAGAATTGTTTCAACCCCGCCAAGGGCTTGAATGACATCAGTTCGGTAGGCATTCAAATTCCACAATTTTCCATCATGTCTCTGACTTGTCCACCAAAATGGGTTACTTTTCATGAGTTGGTAAGTCTTGAACTCTGTTCTGGCACGGAAACCTTTATCGAAGCTTAAAGTGCTTCGATCCTTCTGGAAAAGGGTGTTTATTCGAGGCAAACCTCGATCCCAGCTATCTTCAAGATCTTCCAGAGTCAGTCTTCGATTTTGTTGATTGGCCTCTTGACGTTTTTGAGAATATTCAGTCCATACTCGTTGCGAGTCAATAAATTCAGCCTCCCATGGAATAATGTATCTGAATATATTGGGTATCAAGGTTTCTTCGTCATGGCTCATGCCAGCACGGTAATGAGTAACTCCAACGTCAGTCTGTTTTGACCATCGCTTGTCACTTGTTGGGATAAGAATATGCGAGCCTGATATCATACCGAGACCGCCTAGTTCCTTGGGTGTATAAAATACAGCTGGTGGAAATCGAGACGGCATCTTTGAGTTAAGTCCAATCTTCACTCGAGTTTGAATCTTAGTTTCGCATTTGACAATAGTATCGAGAAGATTAACTGTCGAGACCGCGGCTTCGCGATAATAGGTGAAGAGAGCTATTAGGCTAGTGTTCCATTTGTTGGCAATTTTAGTAAAAGTAGTCGAGCCGGAGGACATGAGAATCTGTCGAATACGATTGTTAAATTTCGCTATATCTTCCTCCGTAACCTGAAGAAAAGCATGAGCAGTTCTTTCTTTGCTAGAATTGTCTACGAGCGACCACACGCTGTCTTTGACAGGAAACTCATCATTCTGATTCCGTATCTTAGGAAGAATACGGACCTCAAAACCGCACATGGAAAACAGTAGATTTGGGTTTTCTGCACTGTATACACTCGAGAAAGTATCGTCCCACTCTATAGTGGTGATAGATCTTGGTAGCCTGTTTTTGAGATCCCAGAAAACTGCGCGACCTAGATTTACGTCATGCCTCATCAAACGCATGCGAGAATCTCTTGGCCAACATTTTTTATTTTTGTATCCAATAATGTTTTCAAAATTCGGATCTGGCTGTTCTGTGAGAAACCGTTGGATCAGGTCTCGTGACTCCTCGGCAGAAAATCTGAAGAAAACCCAAATCCTGTCAATGTACCTTGTGTAAAGTCTTATCGGATGCCTTGTCTCAGTTTCACGGTCTCTGAATTGAAGGAAATCATTTGGACTTGCTGGCGGGCCTGCAATTTCGCTGGCTCTTTGGAGGCCGAGTAATAAAAGATCAAGAACGAGCCCATAGTATTGAAAAACAAAAGCTGAGAACTGAAGACCACGAATCATTCCGTAACTATTAATATGGTTCATATCTTTGTATGTTAGTTGAACATTATTCTTTGACGATATATAATCTGCGAGATTGTGATCCATTATAAGTCTCAACAGCCTATTAAGTAGCGTCAGGTCAATTTTTTCGTACACTTTAGACAATTGAGTTTCGATCATCACGTTGCATTCTCCATCAGCTGTCTCCCAAACTTTATCTAAGTTGTTGATACCTTGTGCCCATTTGTAGGTGAGCAATGGTGGGACTTCTGAGTCTGAAGGCTTGATCCATGCAGGAAAAAGATGACGTTGATCCGCTTGGTACCATAGATACTGATCTAGGTATGCATCACTAATCTTCTCCACCGGTTCAATGTCGTAAACAGGATTTATGGTGCTGTAGTTATCATTCATATCGATTCCAACTTCCTTAAACGCTCTCTGAGTAAGAAGAAATCGCTTTATTCTCTCCAGAGTTGTCCCTGGGCTATCATAGGCTTGTTCTATCAATGCCAGTTCTTCACGTTGGCTTTGATTTAACCGGCCCTTGACTGAATATGCTTCACGTAGACGTTCTAGAGCCAGTATAAGAATTTTAGTGTCATGTTTGTAAGAGACACTTGGGAACGGGATTGGTGAAAATTTTCGTGATTCTAACCAATGAACAGTGGTCGTGTAAATAGCAACAGCTTCTTCTGAGGATACGTAGGGACCGTCCTTCATATAATTGTGTTGTCTTTCTTGTTCAGCCTTTAGCCAAAGTCTAGTGAGGCGACCTAAATTCTTTTTCGCAACAGTTTTGTCCACGGTGGCGCCCCGACGGATACGCTCTCTATTGTAGTGGGCGACAGATATCCACCAGTCAGCTTTACTTTTAACGTATCGTAGAATTATATTTTCCACGGGCGCTGGTAAGCCAGGTACTTTCCAGGGAATGTTACTTTTCCAACATCGCCAGGCCTCTGATAGATGTTGAAGGACTGTATTAACTTTGTTCTGTTTGACTCCCTCTGGCATCATATCTAAGAGATCCGCCATCACTGAAGCACGAAGCTCCAGATCGAAATGAGATTCAACTCGTTGTTTTGTCACAGTTTTTGCCACGCCTTTGCTATGTCTACCTTCAAACTGTCTCGAAAGAAGATTTCCAAGCCACCTCTCTAGTAAGGGTATGATACCTCGCATAAAAAAAAGCCAGACTCTCCATGCGGGAGCCCAAAACCCACAGCCAGGTCCTTTTCCAACAGGGCCTGAATTGAATCGATAATAAATCAAATGTTTCAGGTCTTTGCACGATCGAATTTGATGCATAAGTTTATATTTGTATCGATACATTCCAGTGAGCTGTCCGACGTGATTAAACGCATAGAGTATTCCGTCTGCAAGTTGAAATGCATCTATATTTCCGAGTCGATATTGTACTTGAGCATCGACGATTAATTTAGTTAATTTCAGTATTTCACGCATGAGATGAAACGCATTCCCGAATCGAGACTTTTTTCTCTCCTTTGTAGTCAGAGTTTTGACGGGTTTTAGGTTAAAGTTATAGTCAAGATGGAGATAAGTTAAATTCTTCCGATGTATCAAAAGATTTAGCATATTAAATCCCTGGCGGCAAACTTGAAGACCAGCTTCAACCCAGTCGATAGTTGTTTGCTGAAAGAACTTGGTTTGCTTTAGAGATTTCATTAGACTTTGCTTGTTTTGGGCTTTGGGCTTTTTCTTATGAAGTTCATTCAAAACATAAGTTTTGAGAAGCTTTTGGTATGAGACCCGAACTTTTACTGGCTGACCTTGTGGACAATGCTCTAGATACCACTGCTTTACTAACGACACATCTTGGGCTCGAACCATCTTTCCAGAGCGTCTGTCGAACGGGTAGGGTGCCCACCATAGTGCAATTGCTGACGTTGTTTCGCTCGTATAGAGATCTTCAGTGACTAAAAATGGTTCGACTTCAACCGGCAATTGGAATAGATTTTCCTCAGGCTCTTCATTATTTCCGAATCCAAATATTTCGTCTTCGTGGCTAATGGTTATGTTTTTTGGAGCGACTGATCTCGAAGATATAGGATTTATGATAGGATCGAAGTAGAAAGCAGGGAGACTCGGATCTTCTGCTCGGACGTAAACAACTTGAGGATATGAAAACCACGAAAGCTTTACGCTCCGTGGTAAAGAATTGTACAAGAATGGGAACTCGACCCTATATTCAGTGCGGATTGGGGCGCGAAATATGATGCGGTCAATAGCATTGAACTCACCGAAGTCCTCATCATTAGGATCTACATCTTTATAAAGCGGCTCAAATCTTGGCCCACCAGGAATCGCTACATTCAAAGCTTTGGCAGTTAAGAAACTATTGAGCTCAAACATATGGAAGTAATTCTTGTCGACAAGGTCGCTTAGAAGTTGGTGACTCAGTCGATACAAGGTTGCCATCTGAGGTAGAGTAAGATTCCACTCCTTGTAACTCGGTCCATTCACATGAGGTGTGTCGAGTAAAGGCCTATTCTCGTAAAACCATTCGTAAACTGCACTATCTTCTGTTTCGTCCAACTCCATGTTTATTGGTTCTAGAGGCTCAACGTCTTCGATGTTTTCGGACCATGATAAAGGAGGCTCTTCATCATCGAACGGTGGGAACCGCATACGCTTGAAATGTCTTCGATCACTTTTCTCTCGCCTCATGCATACCCACATAGTCGCCCATTGAGCGTGAAAGACTGGTTCAATTACTCTTGGTGTCTCGTTTACAAGGGTCAAACATCCATTGACGTGGTATAACACCTTAACTTCTCTCGCAGATTCCCAGGGCATGGGCATATTCTCGAGTAACTTCATGACAGCGTGGGGCATGTACTTTAGGGCACCTAGGTAACTTCGCTTGTCGCTACTGAACTTCTTTTGTGACACGTCTCCAATATCCTTTACAATCTTTCGGAGATGCTCAGGAGGCATATCGGCTTTGAGTGTCTCGACGAAGCCACCCTTCCGCTTTTCCCCGAATCGATTTCGTTGATATCTTAGCCATTCTTTCTTTTTTTGTGCAAACTTGGCTACATGGGGGTCTATCGTAGGTCTGTACAATGGTGGTGGTGGTGCACCTGGAGGTGCACCCATAGGAGAAGGGCCAGAGCTCCATCCAGGAGGTAGAGGTGGAAGGGTGGACGACATTCTGATGAAGTTTGTCCAGGCTTCCGTCGACAGTGAAACACTTCGATTTGGAATAACACGCGGTCGTGTCTAGTTGCGCGTTATGGTACGTTCTTCCTAATAGCGTTGTGGCGCTAACTTCGTCAGGCTAAGGCGCTTTGTCTCGCTTTCAAGCGGCTGACAGCCAATCATCGGCCCCCCCTACAATATGTAACCCACAAACGTTTCTACATTTCATGTGCTCAAACATCATCGACAACAGCAGGGACGACCACAATAATTTACAACGTCACAATGCCATCCAACAGATTAACTTACCGCCGCCGCAACCCGTTCGTACTTCTACGTCAAAAAATAAATAAATGCTCACGAGTTTAGTTACAACACACGATCGAATAAGGTTCGCGTCACCAAGACACCAGGAGGCTCTTTAAGGTATCTTCACATTAAAAAAGCCGGAACCGCCCCTAAATGTGGTGACTGTGGCACAAAGCTTCCAGGTGTAAGTTAAACTAAGTCTCTAGCCTGTTTCAACTAAACTTGCAATGAAAACGCACTCCATGATGGAAAATAATTTTTTCATAACCCCAGAGCTTTCTAGCTTATCCCAATCGCAACTACATTGGGAGCATACTTTTTTTATCCTCACAAAGGAAAAATATATCTGCGTATCCAAAGTCACGGGCTTCGCATTAAAGTGAATTCCGGGATAATCACAGATTGCCTGGACATCAATCCAGCTAGTGCTAGGATTTCTCATAAAAACAAAATGCTAATTTTTGTTATTACATAGATTCCTGCCCTTCGACCTCGGGAATATGCTCAAATCTCTCGTCCCAAGAAGAAGGTTCAGCGTGCGTATGGAGGGTCAAGATGTGCAAACTGCGTTAGGGATCGGATTGTGAGAGCGTTTTTGATTGAAGAACAAAAGATTGTGAAGAAGGTTCTAAAGGAGTCTCAACAAAAAAAGTAACTGAAAGGCTCTTTTGGTTGTCACGGGTGTTAATAGGCGGCTTGGCACCGAAATCGATAGGACCTGTCTGTACTTTGAGAAGGTCACTCGTTAGAAAACCGAGTCACAATTTCACTTTGCGTCGATCAAGACAATGATTAGTCCCGGAAATACCACGGTCACAGTGATACGAATTCAGCTTCAAAACGTCACAAGCCCACTATAATCAAAACTAACACCTTCATTATGGAAGAAGGATTGATATAGAAAAATGTTAAGTCAACTAAAGCCCAATAACGGTCGAGTAATCAAGATCTCTTAGTCCTTGCAGCTTAGCTTCTAAATTCTAAAGACCTAATCTGTATGGTACATACCAAATTTGTTCCAAAAATCTTCTCGAAAGCGCCATACCTCGTGGACAATGCTACAGAAATTTCTATGATACGTGAAACCAATTCCATCAGAAACGATGAATTTGATACCAAATCAGTGATCTTAGCTGAATCTTCCATTCCCTCCTACGCTTCATCATCTCAGAGTATCAGAAAATGTAGCAAAGACATGCAAAATATACACGTGACCAAAAATATTTGGCAAAACCTCATTAATTACTCACTAAGTGTTACGCCCCTAACAACCCCTTTTTACATGTTGCTGTACAAACAGATTTATTTTATTTTGGAAATTCGAAGAACGTGGGTGTACCAAGTGGTACATGAAAACTCGACTGATATATACAGAACCTATGCAATGCGTAATGAGCTGGCACGAAGTAAACAACATCCCGTCAACCCCATTGCACTATTTCCGAAAAAGGCATCGGTTTAAGTTTCAAATCTTACCCTATGAGGTTTCTATTCAGATTTTAGTTCTTAGATTGAGATGAAGCTGTTGAAAAGTAACCCACTACTTTTTTCGTGAAGTCGTTTATAAAAGGTGGCTGGTGCAATATTAGAGGGCAAGACTGAACATCTATACGCAGTGTCCTCTACGAATGTGGGACTGATATATTTATTCAGAGCCAAGTTGAGTCAAGTTTCGCTATCAGACAAGTTGGCCCACGAGGCAATGATTCAAATTACTCCACCACGTCAAATTTTCGCTCCAAACGAGTCCGATTCCTACCTAAGCCTCATAAGTCTACAAGTACGAGCCAGTACATCCTCATTCCAATGATCACACCTCTCGTCGACTTTCTCCGGCCTCAGCTCGTCACCAAATACACGCCCACGCCTATATTTATATCCGCAGGAGGAAGCAAAGCGTGGTGCACAAATCTGGGAGACAGTTCTTTGGGTTTGGCGTGAGAGAATGCAGGACAAGTTCACAAGATGATACGAAGGATGGGTACTGTCTCGACGGGCGTGGAATTTTGAATTTTGGCAAGGAGTTTTTACAAATTGAGCTTTGTGCGTGCCAAGGCTTTGGTTGCGAGAGTGCAGGCGACACTATGAATACCGCAATGGTTGGATGGTGAGGTGGTACATCGTCTTGGCCGGTCTACCAAGTAGAGTCCGGATAGCTTGGACACATATCCCACTTGAGACAGTAGATCGCTGGCTCGAGTCCGGCAAAACACAACCACTTTTCTCGCGGCGCTGGTACACATGGATGACGAAGGCATGCTTGGATAACCAAAGGGTTTCGAAAATCCCTTTGGTGGGTACTTACGGAGGAGGGTCGAATGTTTGTGTAAGCAAGCATATCTAATAGTAGTATTTGCGAATGAAATTCAGAGTATGAATGTCTATAACGTCAAAAGAGTTATCAAACATGTAAAAATAGCACCGGTCATGTGTCAAAGCTCTATAGCTGAATATAAATTAAATGATTCAAATAAAAAAGTCATAGACTCAGATAAGACAAGAATAAAATTTGACATAATTTAATCTAATCACGAGGTATCTATTGAGACCTAATAAATACAATTTGATTTTGATTTCATTTAGCCCGATCAGGTATATCTAGCTATAATATTTACAAGGGAGGAAACCAACTCGGTAAAAACCCTCCAAAACTATCTGTCTCGTATCAATTGGTTTTCCGAGGTATCCTACAGGAAGTGCGTATGGAATATAATAGAATAGGATGAAATTTAAGTCCCTTCTGAGTCTATGACTTTGAAGGACTGCTAAAAGTAGACAATAGACCACCCAAATTCAATTGTTTTTATATGTGCTGTTTTTTCAATCTTTTCCAATAGACAATGAGGGCTTTATCCTGAGTTAGGAAGTGCGTTTACACTGTACGTCCAATGTGGATACCGTCCTATCTTTTTCCCGATCTGTCAGACCATTATCTGACTGCTGTCTCAACTTCTTCTGCAAGCCGGAACTGTTCAAACCAGCCGTTAGTAAGTATCCACTCTGTAATTCTCTTCATGTCATCCGGGCTGTTCATCATAGCTTCGAAAGACCTATCTTTTGCCCGTTTCAGCACTTCTCCTCTTCCCTTAGCCCATTGAGGACAAGCCATGACCATAGGTTTCACGTTTTGTGACGGATATCCACACTGGCACTTTGGATTTGCCACTCCAGGGACCTTTCTTCTATAAAGATAAGAGTTGAGGCCAATATGCTCACTTCTCATCTGTATTGCAATACTACTTTGAGCCCTGCTCAGGTTTCGGTGGATGATAGAGGGTGTGTTTCTGTAGGTGATTCTTATTCTGCCTGTTCGCTTGTCAGTGTTTATTATTTCTGCTTTCCAATGTTCTGGGTCTGCCGACGCCTGGTGAGAAGATAGTCGCTCCTCCTTGAAAGTTTTCCATGCGCTTTCCCACTCCTGAAATGCTGCTATCTTACCCGCTTCTTTTTGTCTACGCCTCACCTTTTCGTTTTTGCAGATTTTATTCCACTGCCTAGTGTCTCGGCTTCGATTTTTTGCGTGGCTATTTTCGCTAAGGCTATAAGCCTCCGATATTTTACCACATGCCTTATAAATACAACATTATTACGGGTAAATAACGTATGGGTCATACATTTACCCGACTGTTAGTGGTCACCAGTTGGGCAGGAAGTCTGAATGACAGCGGGACTATTCTCAACACCTGTCAGTGGTTACTCCTGCGAACCTCCAGCTCTCACTGTAGAGTCTGCAAAGCTGAGATTGAGTAACGAAGTTCCCATTTCAATGAAGATCCCCAATCGCTTGCGCACTCTGTTTCGTCTTCATCTCTCTACACATCCCCCAATCACCATTATTATGAAGCTAACCACAATCAGAACAGATGGTAGGGTCGGAGCCCTACTCATCACCAACCCTTGATCATGGAGGAAAAGCCATCCGATGAGTTTCCGGAGCGTACCCAGTATCCGATACAGAGATGGTTGATTGGATCAAGTCGGCCTCGACTGTTACAAAGAAGGGATATATAGATGGATATACGCACCTCATGTGGTCCCGGTGTCTAGGCCTCGCCTGGCTGGGGCTGCAGGTTTTTTGAGAATTTTTCTCGCGCACGCAGCTTCCATTGCTACTATTTTTACTTTTTCTGGGTAGAAGGTTCCGTGGAAAAGGTGGCCGAATTCCACGGGTAAATACTGAGCTGAATGGCTATTCATCAAGGGGAATATATCAATGATCTTTCAAGTAACAAAAGAGGATAGGAGCACTGTACAAGGTGTGGCCTGGGTCAGAGAGGAGCCCAATGTGCTAGATAGTCTATGATTCAAGTATTACAATAAACACACACACCAAAAAGATGGTAGAGATGCAGCCTTGGGAATGTAAGATAGATTGGCTACTGAAGGAGAAATAGGAGTAATCACAGCGAGCTCTATATACATGCGGTGCTGGTGTTTATTTATTTATTTATACTTTGAATTTGATTTCATTATCCTGATGTAGCGCCCAATGGGCCCATGCAGATGTCCATCTTACTTTCTAATTTACATGGGAGGAAACCTTTTGATGAAAACCCCCAAATCTTTCTACTTAATTTCTATGTTTTTTATAATGTATCCTTTAGGAAGTGCAGTTACATAACAGTGCCCTCGATGTGACCCAATCTCATCAGCTTTATCGACATCAAGAAAGGCATGACCTGTTCCTTTCCCTCAGCAGCATTTCGACCGCCTTTGTCATCTGGAATTGCTCTATCCAACCATGATTTAGGATACACTGTGTTATCCTTCTGATATCTCCAGGATTGTTCAGAATAGTATCGTAGGACCGATCTTTAGCTTGTCTTCAGATCTCTCCTCTTCCATTTGACCATCGAGGGCAGCACATAATCATGTGCGTGGGGTTCTGCGATTGGTAGCTACATGGACAGCTTGCACTGTAGACTCCGGGTAATTTTCTTCTGTGTAAATACGAGTTAGGCCCCATGTGCTCACTTCGTATTTGAATCGCTTGACTGCTTTGGGCCCTTGTCAGGTTTTACTTATTTATGTTAGAATTTAGAATAATTGGGGCTCTCAAGTAGACCAGGTTGTCGATATACACGTGACTAAAAATTATGTACTTAGTTCCACTTCGGTAGTTGCTTGAATCAACGCGTTCTACAACCTCAATGACTGAGGGGTCATTGTTTGTTTGTTTTCTATTTTTCGTCCGTCAGGGCCCCAAGCTTGACTTAGGTCCCTACTACCCACTAAACTACCTAGAGGCATGGACGCCAGTGCTTACTGACCTGGTGGCTTCGCCATTGCTACTTCCTAACTAGATTTTCAGGGCAATTCTCTAATTGCATGATTGTGTGTAGCGTAACACTTACACATTTACAGCTAGTCGCCAAGGCTCTTTACTCCTTTGATGTATTACAACCGCTCTCGAGATGCTACTAATAGAGCCATTCAGAAATACCGCACCATCCATCCATAATGCAAGGCTCCAAGTTGAGGCAGAGTTTAAGACCTATTTATTTCTTCACTGGGATTTCTAGGGCAGGTCTTTACTAAAAACTCAGAAAGAGAAAACCACTTTGCTACACGTAGGACCCCTTCCCAGGTTCCTAGCGAAAATTCTTTGGGTCCCTTGAAGATGCTGGGGCTCGAGGGGGTCTGTGGGTGGTTAGGTGGCACTCTAGGAAGTGAAATGAGGCTTTGAGCTGTCCGCAGCCACAATGAAGCTTAGCACCCATGTGATTGAAATGGCGGTGGTATTCTGCAAAGTCACCATGTCCTGAGCGGTCAGCGTATAGTCTGGAGAGAAACGGTCTAGCTAGTGAGAGTTCCTTAGGATGATGAGAGTATGAGTCGATGGAAAGCTCCCTATAGGAAACTGGGGCATGTCGGTCCCAGTAGTCTTTCATAGCTGTCGATACTTCTGCTTTGATGCGATTTTTCGCGGTATCAAAAGAAACGCACCCACGAGGTATAGGCAGGGGTTCCCAAAGCCCCTCCCGGGCAGATGCGTCGGCTAAAACGTTACCCAATATGCCAGAGTGGCTCGCGATTCAATAAGCATTGACCTTCCCGGGAGAGATGTGTGGGAGCCGGGTGCGGAGAGGCCAGTCTTGGGAGAGGGCCTGTATTTGTTGAAAAACAACTTGTGTCAAACATTTGATAGCTTAGAACCTCCTGAATAAGGTAATGAGAATCATTGGATATTGGGATGACACATCTCGGATTAACTTACTCGAGCTTTGATATCTCACCAGGGATATGGTGATCAGGATGTTCAGGATGTTCAGGATAGTCAAAGCTCCAACTTGAGATCTTTTGACCTTCAACACATGTAATATATTTCATATGTAATTTTGGGAAACGAGGAGAAGATAATCTCTCCTCAATTTAATTTCAGATGGGTATATAGCATCACTGCTGAAGAGGAGTTGAGGAGCAGAGATTTCATCCATACAACTTTAATTTAAAATTTTCATTTTTCATTTGACCCTCAGTGTCTAACACCTTGTGACGAGCAAATTGGGGACTGAGATAAAAGGCGAGTTACCTCCAGGTTATCTATGAGTATCCAAATATTTTCTGAGAAACGTGCTGTTGGTAGGGAAAGCGCAGCTTTGAGGGCTTCTTTTACGGCGGTCACTTCCATGTCTAAAGGAGACAGCATCGAGTCAAGGGACAGACTCTCGCGGTATACCATCTGGCTAGCTTGAAAGATAACGATTCTACGGCCTATCCTGAGTGATTCTACAATCTCAGATCGAGCGCCATCTATATAGACAGCTAGATCTCTAAAAGGGATGCCAAAAGGGAGATTAATGGGAGGGTGCGTAACTCGCCTTACACTATTATACCATGTCTCACTTTTGAGCCATAACGGCTGGATCAGAGGGTCGATCGTTTCAATGTTCGGAATTTGGAGAACCCAGCCCGCAAGACGGGAGAATCGTCGATTGTGTGCCCGGATCCATGTGGCTCTTTGCCGGAATGGGTGTCTAGGGTCCAGGCGTTGGATGCGCAGTGCCGCGAATTTTGATTTAGAGTCCAGCTCTAAATCATGAGGGAGGAGACCTGATTCGCGGTACAGAATAGGGATTGGCGTAGTCCGATATATAGGTAGGATAGCTCTGGCTCCCGTTAGAATAAATTTGCGGAGGGTGGATAGGCGTCCTTCGACTCGATTCGAGATGAGTCTATTGCTGTATCTAGTGCGGCCAGGCCACCAAGTCTCTGCGCCATAGTAGGCTATGGGAAATGTGCAAGCTAAGATGGCTTGTCGAATAAGTTGAGGGGGCGCTCCTCGGACGGTGTTGCTGAGAGATCGGACTGCGTTGGCAACTTTAAGAGCCTTCTCAGCTAGTATACGGACATGCCATTTAAATGAGAGGGTTCGATCAAAGTAGACCCCTAGCCAGCGCGTGTAGGGTTTATTTGGATGCTCAGAGACCCTTATATCTCTGTAGGAGACAGAAGGGGTTGACAGAGGGTCGCGGTCAGCCTGTTTTCGAGAGAAGTATTGTAGATCCGATTTTTCTCGGTCGAAAGTAATGCTTTCCCTGTCCCCCCACTCTACTACTTCCGCTAGCGAGTGAGAGAGAGCTGTGCAGTTACTCAGAAGGTTATGCCCTGTCTCAAGGAGAGCAACATCGTCTGAATAGCCAAATCTTTTCCTCTTCATTCCCATCTTGAAGAGCGGTGAAATTTAGAGCATGAACGTGATGGGCGAGACTGGTGAGCCTTGTGGAAGGACGCAGTCCACATGTTGTGGGGGGCCTGTTACTCCATCGAGACAGACGCACACCGTACGGCATGAGGCAAAAGATCCTACCCAGCGCACCAAGTTTTCAGGCCAACCTTGCTATTGCAGACGGCGGACAAGTTGTCCCGGATATAAAGCGTCGAAGGCTCCCTTGACATCTAAGGTGAGCATACTGGCTGTAGAACCCTCGTGAAGTGCCTTCTCTGCATCGTGGGTAAGGCAGGTAGTTAGATCAAGAGCCGATCTACCTGTTAGAGCGCCGAATGGTTGGCTCGATACCACCTTATGCCGGATAGCAGTCCAATCCATTATTTTTGCAATAAATCTCTCTAATCCTTTGCCAAGTACAGAAAGTAGTGCAATTTGGCGGTAAGAACGGGGCGAAGAGTAGTCCGTCTTGTTCGGCTTTTGTATCATCATCAAAATGACCTTCCGAAAGCACTCAGGATGGTGCCCAATAGAAAGGCACGCGTTAAACAGAGAGAGTACTTGTTATTCAATCAAAGGCCACGCGCGTCGAATAATGGCTGTGGGTATTCCGTCTGCACCAGGAGCGGTGTTGCTAGCACGTAGGATGAAGTCTCGGATTTCCTCGACGGTAGGAGATTGGAAAGGTAGTGAGGTTGAAGAAACTGTTGGAGAATCCATAGGGGTGTCACCAACTACTGAGGGGTTTGTGAGTAGATTTTGCATAAGAACCTCCATTTTTCTGGCAAGACTCTGGACTGGAGGTTATTCTGGGAAGCGGGAGTCTTTAAGCGGGCGTGAACGATAAGTTCCCGCAGATTTATGCCACTTGGTTGCTCCAAATATCTCCTTAGCCGTGCGAGCCCTCTCCAATTTGTTTTTGAAAAAATTGTTTTTTACTATTTGTACTGTTTTCCTATAGGCCTTTTGGGCATCATAAACGCCACTTTCATTGAACGGAGACTGCAGAGCTATCTTGTAGCCCTTCCTAGCCTCTTTGTATGAATCGTTCCACCAAGGATTGCCATGTCCGGCAACTAGAGTGCGCTTTATAGCACCGCAATATGCGTCATGTATAATTTGCACGAGAACCTCTGCTTGATTATCTAAATATTCACTTGAAGGAGATACTGGAAAAGAGCCTAGACCTCCACAGCCTAGTTGCAAGAGTTGCCTGAATAGGGTTGGGTCTAATGTGTCGGGCCGGAGCCGCCCTTGAGGGACCGGAGGGTTGGCTCAGCCTACAGTTGCTAATAGTGGCAGATGGTCAGACGTGGCTACGAGATGTCTAGCAATGCCACAGGAAATGTTATTTACAATAAGACTCGTGCCAAGTGCCAGGTCTAGAACGTTGCCTCGGTTATGGGTAGGTTTGTCAGGTAGGGATATGAGGATGAGGGGAACAGAATCCAGCCACTCCACAAACTGTACGGCCCCAGAAGAGGGGCCACGCCCTATTGAGGGAGGCCACCTGGAGTGATGTAGGTTAAAATCGCCTAGAGTTAAGTAGTTTCCCGAGAGAGGAGCCGTCAGAGTAGCCATGAGAGCATTAGCCCCGTTACCTGCGCCAATCGAGCCTGGGGGCGCGTTGTATACATTGACTAGTGTCAGCGACTGCTCATATTTTCTGGCATAGGCGGATGAATAATAGGTCTGAGGAGATGATTGCATAGACTTGTTCGGAAATGATTCCTACCCCCTTACGCACGTAGGAGATTACTCTAAGGCGAAGAGCTGTCCAATCATCGATCGGAGAGAAAGATTCAAATGAGGGGTGGCGAGAAGTTATGCGTCGGGAGAGGTCTCTAGAGATGTAGGATTCCTGGATTATTACTACGTCAATCTGTTCTGTGTAGGCCTGGTCCAGTGCAATATCATGTGCTGTGCGAATTCTTCCGGTGTTTAGGGAGAGACTAGTCAAAGGCTTTGTGCATTTTTCGCGACGAGTTGTGCAACTCATTACAGCTGCATTTGTTCCTCGTTCAGATCTCTCTCTTCAGCAAGATTTTCGAAGGGATTGTTCAATCGTACGTGCTTTGCTGCACTTGAAGGTGAGTGATCTTTCGAGGGGGCTTGAGCGTAGGTTTCTGCAGCAGGGGCTTGAGCTGATGGTAAAGTAGAGCTGTTGTTGACGTTGGATGATGCCAATAAAATGTCTCTAGCAGGCGCTTTGACGCAGCCAGCTTCTGCTTGGGCGCGAAGTCGGGCATCAGCGCAAATTTTCCTTATAGCGCTCACCTGAGACTTGGATTTAGGAGCTGAAGATTGATTTGGGCGGAGTGGAGAGTTTGAGGATTCCGCAGGATGGGGCCCGTGGCAATATATGCAACACAGTGGGCAGACATAGTTTCCGGTGACCGCACATAGGCAGCCATGATTCTCTTTGGTGTGCTGAGTAGAGCAACAGAGGCTATGTCGAGGAGCAGCTACGGCTATTGTGCTACAACCAACACCTGGTGCATTGAATTGTTGTGATACGACGAGGTAGTAGGCGTACATGTGTCCTACAACCAAAAAGATAAAGAGCTCGGGGTAGACGGTTATGCGACTCCGGGAAGCGGACTATCCAAGTCGTCGAAGGGGAGCGGACGTTTTGATCGTTATCCTGGGAAGCCTGAATGGCTACCGGCGCCGCTCCTGCTGCAGCCATCAGCGCCTCAGAAAAAGCTTCGGGGGAGATTGCCTGAAGACAGTATTGGAGGTTTTCGTTCAATGTACCGTAGTTCCGAGGGACATTCTCGATCCTGTAGGAAGTCCATGGAGATGCACGCTCAATTGGTACGTTTCCAAAAACGCCTACAGAGTTAACTTTTTCTGCCAAATCATCTGTATGGCCTGTGCTTGGGCAGAGTTCAAAGCTAGTATTTGTGGGCAAGACATTGGAAAGCTGTTTGTTGTGCTCCCTCAGTCTGGTATTTAGTAGTGTCTGCAACGCATAACCCGAATAGCTGCGGAGTGCGCTGTCACTTGGAAGGCGCACAAACAATCTATCAACTAATTTTACTGCTTTGGGTGTTTTAATCTCTTGAGTATTCTTACCCGTTGGGGCTGATTGCAATATGTGTGTAGTTGGGAAGATACTAACCCCACGCCTTGCCGTGCTTGAGTAGCTTTTAGGGTCAGATTTGGTTGAGTGAGGAGAGGAGGGCTTAGCTTTTGGAGGGGCAGCACCCTGAACGTAGGCCTCGAAATGCTTGGAGACCACGACGGCAAGCTCCGATATGCAGGCGTGTAGAGCACGGGACTGGTTAACAGGAAGATCCCCTTGTTGTATGCTGCCACAATGATGGTCAAGTAGTGAGGCTAGGGTGCTGAATAGGTCATGGCCTTCACTGGCGCGGTCGGCGGCAGTCTGAGCGCTTCTTGAAAGCGAGTCTTGGATTCTGCCCATAGGCCTTGTTAAGGCATCATATTCATCGTAATTGACGGGTTTGCAGGAGGTTGAGGACTTAGGGGCATCTAGATCAAGCCCAGGTGGATGGCAGGTAGCGGTAGTTACTTCCATGGCCTACGGCGCGTGGTCCACGTTCATCGGGAGGACCAAGCCACAGGAAGGTTGTAGCCGAAGTTAGAATTTAAATTTCGAAGAATAATGCGACGAGTGAATAAGGTACGTGTCGATATGTAGTATGTGTGTATTGAGAATGAATGTACAAATTATGTTACGTGTGAGTGTGACTGAGGAGTCATTATTTCCATTATAATTTATAATATTTAACGTCGTGCCCGCGCACAGCACGTGAGTTCCTCGCGTACTGGTTAGCCCAGTCTAAATTAAACTATCCGACGTGTTGGCGCCTACACAAACCCAACAAAGCAAATTGTAGCCAGGATCTTATTATTCTGCGCTCCAAGATTATAGTATACATGGAGGTCGTCTGTCGAACGAATCTCATGCTGTGCAGTTGGTACTAAATCGAGAAAAGATTTTACAAAACAAAATAAAATAAAAAATAAAAGGAGAAGATTGTTTACATCAGATCGTGATTTCGTTCGAATCAGACTGATCGTTGTGCCCTTTCAAAAAAATCTGTGATACGCACCCAACTATTGAATGCATCAACTTCCTTCGCCGAAGCGTGTGCCCAGGATACGCTGGGATTAGAGTTCTGTACCCTGTGGAGCTGAGCTTAGTATTGCCCGAGGTGGCAATAGAAAAAGTGGTCAGGAGATTTCTCTTCTCCGCACGTGCAGGTTAGAATAGCGTTTTCATGCTGAAACCGTCGGTGGTAGTCCACGAAGTCGCCATGACCGAACCGTGCAGCTAGAAGATATCCTAGTACGCGTCGCCCCAGGCGGGCGAGCTCAACGGTGATTTTCGTATTAGGGCCAATTCATAGTTGTTTGTACCTAGAAGGGGCATTTTCTACCCAACATAGTGCGACTGAAGCCTCGTATTGGGCTTTGACTTCTCTCCTTGCCCTCGTAATGGAGGGTTCTAAGTGTGGAGCTGGAGCTGCACAGGCAGCTTTGGCAAGCGCGTCGGCTGCTTCGTTCCCGAGAATACCTGCGTGGCCTGGGCACCATCGGATAGCCACTTTCCCAGGCGTCGTACTTTGACCGCGAGATTTTCTTTTCCAGTTCATTGCAAGCTTGCGAAAGATTAATATTTTCGCCGAGCTGGACGCTGTAGGCGCATCAAAGAACAGACGGATGGCAGCCTCCTGGTTGTCAAGGCAGACAGTAACGTTAGAGGCATAATAGGCCAGTGGGTTGCGAAGAGCTGCAGCAAGATCTTCAGTGGCCCCGGCAATTTCTGCATCATACACTTCTGCCGAGTTTCCGAGTGGGAGTGATCCTCGTCCAATCTCTTGCGTAAGACCTCGGTAGATGACATAGCCCGCACCTGCTCGGTCTTCTATTAGAGCTCCCTCTAAGAATACAAACAAGTCTAGGGTAGGTCGTGTAGCCTGCCACTGTTTGAAGGGATTTGGTCTCAGGAGTCTACCTACTGCCCCAATTTTGATTAGCTTTGCCTCACGGGGTGTCGACCATGGTTGGGGTATGGTGTTATCGGAAAGTTCAAACAGAATCCTCTGGCGGATCCAGCGCATGCGATTAGTATTCCAACGCCTACGAAGAGGATGATTGGGGTCAGCTGCAGCAACTCGAACCGCTAGACGGCTGTGAATTCTGTTAATCCACGTCTAAGCTGGGCCCCAGCCAACTTCTCGTAGGAGTGCTGTTATGGGAGTGGTGCGATAAACTGGAAGAGCTGCCCGAGCCGCGTTGTTTATCCTGTGTTAGACTTGCGAGATGATCTTTTGAGAAGTCTCTTTAGAGTACCAAGTCTCGGCCCCATAGAAAAGGGTCGCAAAGGCAGCACCTTGTAGAGCCTGTCTTAGAAAAGGGGGGCTAATTCCTCGTGTGATCATCGAGAGTTTTTTCAAATGGCTCGTGATAGCTAGAGATTATTGGCAAGCCTATATAGTATGATATTGGAACCGAAGATCACGGTCGAAAAATATTCCAAGCCAGCGAGTGTGGTCATTGGGCGTTATATTTGTCCCTCCAATACTAAGAGTAGGCTCTAGTGGTGAGCCTCGCTTCCGGTGAAAGTATTGCAGCTCAGTCTTAGGAAGTTCGAAACTAATTCCGTTAGTAAGTCCCCATGCTATGGTGTTGTCTAATTTTTCCTGGAGTTTGCGTGCACACTAGACAAGGGAGGGCGCAGACGCAAAGAGGGCAATATCATCTGCATAGCCAAAGCGGCCAGTGGAAAGATGTAGTGCCTCTTCCATAGCAAGAAGAAAAAGAATTGAGGATACAGGTGAGCCCTATGGGAGACCACAGTGAGTTTGGAAGGGCGGAGAGATAGTATCTTCAATAGAGATTGTGGATTCCCGCTCTTCCATGAAAGATACCACCCAGCGAACCACGTTCGGTGGCCATCCTTGGATTCGAAGTCTATGGCAGAGTTGTCCTTTCTGGATACCATCAAATGCTCCTTGGACATCAACAGTCACTATACCAGCTACTTTCTTTTCCGCCCATTTTGCCTGAATATCACAAGCGAGAGCTGTGGTAAGGTCAGAAGCGGAGCGAAGAGGGATGGCACTGCATTGGTCTTTGGCGAGTACCCGATATTTCAGAGCTATGTATGAAAGTTGCCATACTATCAGTCTCTCAAAGCCTTTAGCAAGGCACTAAAGTAGAGAGATTGGTCTGCAGGACTTTGGGAGGGCGAGATCTCGGGTTCCTGATTTCGGAGGAATAATCACTGTTGACTTCTTGAGGGCTATTGGGTGTATTCCTAGCTTCTCGTACTGGCAGAAGAGAGCTGACACTCTATTGCAAATAATTGGCCGTTCTCGACGGAGAGAATTGGGCGATGATGAAGTCAACGTCACACTGTTTAACGATTGCTGACACTGATAACGTGACAGTCAATGACATCCATCAAATTGCGTCATTCTGAAGCGTGATTGGATATTGCAATTATTACTAAGAGCCTAGCCAGGGAGAGTTGAGACCGCGTCGCGTTCGTGCGCGGTATGAGGGAACAATAGAAAACCACGAGACAGCAACTTACATTAAACCCCGGTACATCTGATATCCTCGCCATGGCTTCGATACGAGTACCACAGAAAAGAATTATTGGTGAAGCAAAGAATACACGGAAAGACATCCATCTATCCCCATCTCCTACGAAGAAGCGAAAGCTAGAGTTTACCACATCATCGGGACTACAATATGATAGTTCTCAAAGGATTCAAAATAGCAAGATATTATCCAGTCAGCCAAGTCGCTTTGAAACAGAAGTTTTGCAGAAGATGAGCCAAGAAATGGCAGGATTGAGAAAGAACAATTCTGAAAAAGACCAAGAATGGTCACGCCCCCCTTTGACAGATTTAAACCCAGAGAAAAATAATCTATGTTTCCAGCAAATCGAATGCGAAGAAGGAACATTGCATGCTGGTAAGGCGACAGTCAAATTATTCGGTGTCACTGAGGTAGATAGAAGCAACTCTTGCGGAGGGATATTAACTAACAATTAAACTTATAGAACGGTCAATCTGTGATGCTTCATGTTACCGATTTCTTACATTATATTTATATTGCAGCCCCTATATCTTTTCAACGGCAAGATTGTGACCCTTTCAAAGCATATCTAGAGTCCAATATCGCCCAACACCAGCCTACTATACACTCAGTGCAGATGGTTCTCCGAGAGAACTTGTATGGCTTTCAAGGAAACCAACAAAACCCATACCTGAAAATTTTTGTAACAGATCCAAAATATATAAGCAAAGTTAGAACAACTCTTGAACAAGGAAATGCAAACTACAAGGGTATGTGGAAAGCGCAAGATAGCGGTATTTTAACATTTGACAATATACAATATGTTCTACGGTTTATGATAGACTGCAAAGTGAGTTGATGCCTTCGTTACTGTAACCAACTCATCTTATATACATCAGATATCGGGAATGTCATGGGTAGAGGCCCCTGCGATGTCATACAAACTAGTACCCTTTCACGAACGACAGTCAAACTGCCAAATCGAAGCAGAAATTTCGTACAGGGATCTTATTTCCCACAAGCCGGTTGGCGAGTGGGCTAAAATGGCACCGCTTCGTATACTCTCTTTTGACATCGAATGTGCAGGTCGGAAGGGAATATTTCCTGAAGCCAATCAGGATCCTGTCATTCAGATTGCTAACATAGTTACTCGATACGGAGAAAAAAAACCATTTGTGAGAAATGTATTTTGCCTTGATACCACTAGCACCATAATTAATACCCAGATTTTTGAGTTCAAAAAGGAAGAAGAAATGCTCATGAAGTGGAGAGAATTTTTAGAGGAAGTCGACCCAGATCTCATTATTGGGTACAATATATCCAATTTCGATTTTCCCTATCTTCTAGAACGAGGAAGACACCTCAAAATCTCAGGGTTTGACTACTGGACAAGGATACGAAATGTTAGATCTGTATCTAAAGATACAAACTTCTCTAGCAAGCAGATGGGAAACCGAGATACGAAGGCGACTAATACTAATGGTCGGTTGCAACTAGATCTTTTACAGCTAGTTCAAAGAGAACATCAACTTCGAAGCTATACGCTCAATTCTGTTTGCTCTCATTTTCTCAATGAACAGAAAGAAGATGTACATCATACAATGATTACGGAACTATTCAATGGAAATTCAGAATCACGAAGAAGACTAGCTGTTTATTGTCTTAAGGATGCATATTTACCTCAGAGATTAATGGATAAACTATCTTGTCTTGAAAACTTTACTGAAATGGCGAGAGTCACCGGCGTACCATTTAACTTATTGCTATCACGTGGTCAACAAGTTAAGTTTGTTAGCCAGCTATTCCGAAAAGCATTGGAGCAAAAGCTTGTAATCCCAAATCTTCGAACAGAATCAAATGATGAACAATATGAAGGAGCGACAGTAATAGAGCCAGCACGAGGATACTATGACGTTCCCATAGCAACCCTTGATTTTGCTTCATTGTACCCAAGTATAATACAAGCACATAATCTTTGTTATACAACTCTACTGAATAAACAAACAGTTGAAAAATTAGGACTCATCAAAGATGAAGACTACATAATCACTCCAAATGGTGATATGTTTTGTACAATCAAGCAGAGAAAAGGTCTCCTAGCGCAAATTCTTGAAGAGTTATTGACCGCTCGAAAGCAGGCCAAAAGAGAACTAGCAGTTGAAACCGATTCATTTAAGAAAGCTGTGCTCAACGGAAGACAGCTAGCTTTAAAGATAAGTGCTAACAGTGTATATGGTCTAACAGGCGCAACAGTTGGAAAGTTGCCTTGCCTTCCTATCGCAAGTAGTACAACAAGTTATGGGCGTCAAATGATTGAAAAAACTAAAGATGAAGTTGAAAAAAAATACACTATTTTAAATGGGTACAGTCATAATGCCCAAGTAATTTATGGTGATACGGACTCTGTTATGGTCAAATTTGGGGTAAAAGATTTGCCCACTGCAATGAAACTCGGGGAAGAAGCAGCTCAGCACGTATCTTCCAAATTCATCAATCCTATAAAGCTAGAGTTCGAGAAGGTTTACTTTCCATATCTTCTGATAAATAAGAAGCGATATGCTGGGTTGTACTGGACCAATCCAGATAAGCACGATAAGATGGATACAAAAGGTATTGAGACAGTGCGACGAGACAATTGTCGATTGGTACAAAACGTTATCGAAACTGTACTTCGTATGATTTTGGTAGATCAAGATATTCAAGGCGCCCAAGAGTAAATATGAAGCGAAGATATTTACGAAGAATTCCGCTAACCTTCCCTAGCTACGTCAAAGATACTATCTCTGACCTCCTCCAAAATAAAATTGACATATCAAAGCTAGTCATCACTAAGGCCCTTGCCAAAGCTGACTACACTGCAAAGCAAGCCCATGTCGAACTTGCCGAGCGAATGAGAAAGCGTGATGCCGGCTCAGCCCCATCACTCGGAGATCGGGTGGCTTATGTGATTATCAAAGGCGCAGCCGGAGCGAAAAACTTTGAGCGATCAGAAGACCCAATTTTCGTGCTCGAAAATAATATTCCCATTGATACGAAATATTATCTAGACAACCAGCTTGCCAAGCCATTAGGACGAATATTCGAGCCTATCTTAGGGGAGATAAAGGCTAATAGTCTTCTTGCAGGTGATCATACTCGTTCCATTACAGTTGCTGCGCCTTCACTAGGTGGTCTAATGAAATTTACAAAAAAGACCTTTACCTGCATGGGTTGCAAAAAACCGCTGGTTTCCAAGGATGAGCTAGGTGGCGCTGTTTGTTCAACCTGCGGCCCACGCCTTGGTGAACTCTACCAGAAGACAATAAGTCGTGTATCAGATTTAGAAGACCGATTCGGTCGGTTATGGACGCAGTGTCAACGTTGTCAGGGCAGTCTTCACTGTGAAGTTATTTGCTCAAGCAAAGACTGTCCCATCTTTTATATGCGTATGAAAGTAAAAAAGGATATTGAAGATGCTGGCAAAGAGTTAACTCGGTTTGACCGCGATTTAGCGGCAGCTTGGTAAAGGAAATATGCACTTCACAATTACTGGAGCTAATCACACGGTTGCTACGGAGGTTAAATTGTGGGGCATTCGATCCCTTCAACGTCTAATCTGTGTTACAGACTAAGGCTATGCCATGTTTACTAAGCTGGTGATACCACATGGGCCGTCAATAGGATTTTGAGGACTCATAAGGACCAACACCAACTTGTTAAGAACCTTGCATCGCCAAATCCCGCTCGAACTCTCCCTCCGAGTGAAAGTTGCGTTTACACAGACGATAATAAATTGAAAGCTTGGCTGATTAAGTCCGCCATAAATCTAAAAAACTACAGCAACCACTGTCAATTTCTGTAACAAACCATCTCCTATTAAGGATCATGCCTATTCTATTCCCTTGTGGGACATTCTATCTTGAACGCTCTCACAAAAACGGAGACCACATGCAACAGAAATTAAGGAATTAATTCATCACAAAAACTGGTAGAGAAAGTCACCAGTACACGAATACTAATGACTCTAGGCATTGGTTTATGTAATTTAAATTCATGTGCCAGGTGCTAACTTGGGAAATCTTAGTTCATAAAATAACTGAATAATACTAATTTTTTGGTGAGAATGTGACTTGAATATCAGCATAGGGAAAGTAAATAAACTGTTAAAGAATTTAACTGTGTGTTATTGAATACTCTAATATTGTAAAATGGAACTCAGGAGGAAGAATATTGTACTAATTATTATAGTTATGTTATAATGGATCAAATTGCCTGAAGAATTCTGAACATCAAACGGACTTCCACCTCCTGTATCAATATTTGGTGTTGAAGATGTAGTCTGTACGCTCACACTCGGTCTATTTGTCGATGTCGACGAAGTTGGGAGGGTTTCGTTTCTATCAGTTGAAACTGATGACAGCGATGATATGGACGTTGTGGATGGTTTAGAAACTACAGTCTTCGTGCTACTTGTCATTTGAGAGGTATTAGTGTTTATTGGAATTAAAGTAGTAAATATCTCAGATGTATAACTGCTTAACCTTGTTGTACTAGATAGCCTGGGATCTGTAGTTGGCGCCGTTGAGGGCGATACGACTGTTTTAGTTATCGATGAAGGATTCGTTTCGTGACTTGATGATATTGTTAGGTGGAGCATTGTGGAGACATTAGTAGTTAATGGAGAGCCTGAACTTTTGGGCCCGCGTTGTGAATTTGGGGTTGAAGTGGTGAGAAAAAGGGTTGAAAGTTCAGATGATGAACGAACGTCTGCCCGCGGAAGACCCGCAAACCTTAAATGTTCTGTGTAGAGGGGATCAAACGGAGCATTAATCATTTTTTGCCGATCCAGCGGTTGACATAGAGACTCTACCATACGACCGCCTAAAACGAGGCCTAACAAATAATTCGGTTCGGCTTTTAGTCCTCTGCAAGCTTCCATTAATTCTTTGGTGATAGAAACGAGTCCAGAAACACATGGAGTAGAGCAGCTGATAATGAAATCGCTCTGCGTACATGCCGAGATTTGACTCTCATAGGCTGTCTTGCAAGCTTTTGAAGTCACAGTCGGGAGGTTACGCTGGAAATCGGAGAGTGAAAGTGCGTGCGCTGCCGGCAGCGTTAAGCCAATTAACCATGATTTCTGCTGCATGGTTTATCCTATTTATTGGGAGAATTATATTCGAAAAGAACGCCTCTGGCTAACAGCTTTAGGATTTTATCCTTCGTGGCAAAACCGAATAGAGCTGAAATAGAATACCGAGCAACGTGATCATGTTGGCAACAACTGAGATTGAAAATTTACAATAGTTTACTATCGAGAAAATTTGTTTGATGGATAGGCAGAGTGATCTGAAAAAACGATCCGTGTTTTGAATAAATCAAACGGTTAGCGTTTGGAGTCTCCGAGACCCACAATGTCATCTGTTCAAGCGACAAAAAGTATTCTATTAGCATATCTATCGGATATTTTAACCATCGGTACTGTTCATCCATGACTGAACGACTATACAGTTGTATGCATACACAAATGCCGAACGACTCCCCTGTGGCACAAGATTCCTATTGTGCAAAGAAGTTACAGCCCGCAGCCATATCGGACGGTAAATTTTCATGTGAATGTTGTAAGGTTAACAGAGTCATGAAAAGTGCGTCACTTTCGGTAAAAGTATGAATTGATATTCATCAGGGGAACGTCTTATAAGGTCCAGAGTACCCCTTGATGAACCATGATTTGATTTTTGCCCTCTATCGCGTCTACTATCAAAAAAAATGCTTCAAGATATGTATCAATAGATCTAGCTAAGAAAGATGCCGTTAGAAGCTTTTTCATCTCCTTGTTAGGTTGATCGAATGAGTAATAATGTGGGTATGCTGTGATGACATTATGATCTCATCAGATTCGATTCAGATGAGATTTGCACGATAGTTGAGTTACAGATGAGTCAGCAATACGTCAGGGCTGCCATACTATCGTGATATGATCGAGACATCGGACTAATATTCCGCCTTGCTTTGTGCGCGAAGCTACTGCCTACAAACGTTGTCATTTCCCGAAAAGCAAGGTGATTACGAGAGGTCGCTTATCCCTTGAACTCCAACTGCCTCCCGCGTGGAACAAACCGCCTTGTTCGTAACATCCATGATTTCCTAGGAACGATGACGAGTAGCATCGGCGAACCAGCGACGCCAGTCCGCGTACCAAAATCCATTTCAAATTACACTACTTCGACTCTTGATCCCGAGATGCGCTCCAGCGTAAACTCACGCCTCCTAGCCGACGGTCACATATCAAAGTAGGCAGTTTCTATCTGCGCAATCCGCCAGCCTTTTTAAAGAGCTTCATATTCATTCGCCTTTTTTTCCCCTCAACTTGCTTCAACTAACTGTTCGGAACCTTGCTAGGATCCACGATACACTACTTCACGCTCTCCACGCTTCTCACACCAACTGGCCTACATTAATTCAACGTCGCGCACTTTCCCTCCTTCGCAGTGGTGAATGTACAACTTTTCACGAGGTACTCGAACGAGTGCTCAAAGATATTCATGCCGACACAATTAATACTCGGTCATCTAGCGAAGTCACACGTACTAATCCTACTAGAAACGGTCATGATGGGACCGATAAAAATACGAGATCAACGGATAAAAATAGGGCAAAGAGTGGAGTAGATTCAATTATACCAACTGAGAAAGGACATGGTTTGGCAGTCCCGCTAAAGGTTGTAGAGGAAGGATTGAAGGTTACAAGAGAGTGTTTAGAGATTGTATGCGAACTAGATAGTTAGGTGTTAGGATTGGGGCCCCTAAATCGCTGAAATTGTCCTTATTGACGAGAAGGAAAGGGACTACTCTCTCTAGCAGAACAGCAGAAATCAGCATTACAGCGATAAATTGATCCACAACATAAATGTATGAAATCACCACGGGACAAGTTGCATCGCGATCTGTTCACCGTTGAGGATGTGGATTATTGAGCTATACATGTAGGTATTACATTGTTAGCTTCAATGCTAAGCTATCCTAGTCTCTCGATCTATGTAATCGAATCAAAAATGATTCATGAAACACAGAAATGAAACACGTTATGCATTAGTAAATGTCAGAGTGATCATTTCTGTTTCTAGCAAAACCGGGTTGTGAAAATTCGTGTGAAATGCTTATAATTTGGGACATTAGCTCTATTAGTTCAGGGAAAATTCTAATGGCGAAAAAACGGTTCATGGAATACCATTTCGTTCTCAGGTGTGCACGTGAAAGATTAAGGTACAAGATTAGTCGTAGAGGCTATCGTCGTTGCCAGCATCTCCAAATCCACCAGAGGCATCACCAGTAGCAACTGCCTCACCAGCCTCAGGGAACTTAAAAAATGCTCCTGGGCCTGCACTTTTCATACTTTGCGCAAATGCTTCGTATCGTCGGATCTCCACATCCGAGACTGAACGCCTGGCAGAGGCCATCGCTTCAGCAAAATGAGCCTTGGTCAGCATGGGTACTGGGTCTTCTGTCTCATCATCCATATCGACATCATCTCCAGCCATCTCGCGGTTCTTGCGCCGCTGTATATCTAGAGAGATAGACTCTTTTATGGCTAACTTCACGGCCCTTTGTGTAATAAATCCTAGATCTGCACCGGAGAAACCATGTGTCTTGGAGGCAATGTAAGATATGTCAACGTCCGGAGACACTGGTGTCTTCCTGAGTTGGGCTTTAAGTATTCCAGCACGAGAGGACTCATTCGGTAGAGGAACATAGACAAGGGTGTCTAGACGGCCTGGTCGACATAGCGCATTGTCGAGCTGCTCGGGTCTGTTTGTGGCGCCAATAACGAAAACGTTCTTTTTAGAAGTCATTCCATCCATTTCTAGTTTAATTAGCTTTTAATTTCGATGTTTTAGAGAGACCTACCAGTTAATAATTGGTTGACTACCCGATCTGATGCTCCTCCAGCATCGCCAACAGATCCGCCTCGAGATTTTGCAATGGAATCCAGCTCATCCAAAAATACGACGCAAGGAGCAGCAGCCCGGGCTTTGTCAAAGATGTCTCTGATGTTGCTTTCAGACTCTCCGAACCACATACTTAATAACTCAGGGCCTTTTACCGATATGAAGTTTGCTGAGCATTCATTGGCAACGGCCTTAGCAAGTAAAGTCTTACCAGTACCTGGTGGTCCGTAGAAGAGGACGCCACGAGAAGGTGATAGACCAAACTTAAGAAATTTCTCAGGATGATCAACTGGGTATTGAACTGATTCAATGAGCTCACGCTTGACATCCTCCAAACCTCCTATATCATCCCATCTAACATTTGGTACTTCCACGACCGCAACTTCACGAAGAGCCGATGGGTTTGACACACCCAAAGCAAAACGAAAGTTTTCCATTGTGACACCAAGCGAGTCGAGAACTTCTGCATCAATAGTATCTTCATCAAGGTCTATCAGATCCATCTTCTCGCGGATTTGCTGCATAGCTGCTTCAGAACAGAGTGACGCGATATCTGATCCGACATATCCATGGGTCTCAGAAGCAATCTGCTCTAAATCAACGTCATCACCTAGCTTCATGTTCTTGGTGTGAATCTGTAGGATTTCAAGGCGGCCGGTTGGGTCGGGAATGCCGATATCCACTTCACGATCGAACCGACCAAAGCGACGGAGTGCGGGATCAATAGAATTAGGTCTATTGGTTGCGGCCATGACAACTACATTCGATCTGGCCTTCATTCCATCCATGAGGGTAAGTAGTTGGGAGACAACACGGCGCTCAACTTCTCCATTAGTTTTATCGCGCTTGGGAGCGATTGAGTCAATCTCGTCAATAAATATTATGGCAGGAGAGTTCTTTTCGGCTTCTTCAAATGCCTTGCGTAGGTTTGATTCAGACTCGCCTGCCATTTTAGACATGATTTCTGGCCCATTGATCAAGAAAAAGAATGCTCCGGTTTCATTGGCCACAGCTCGAGCCATCAAAGTTTTACCAGTTCCAGGTGGACCAAACATTAGAACACCTCTTGGGGGCTTGATTCCGATAGATTTGAAAAGCTGAGGGTGCCTCAGTGGAAGCTCAACCATTTCCCTGATTTGTGCCATCTGTTTTCTGCAGCCTCCAATATCATCATAGCCAACTTCGTTTAAATTTCCTTCCTCGTCTTCCCGTTGAATAGGTTCTCCCTCACAATGAATTACGGTTTCTTGAGCGACAATGCCGTATTCTGGTGGGTCGACTTCAACAACTTTAAATTCAACCTGTCTCATTCCGCCCCTCACTGTAAATAAATCGCCCTGCCGAACAGGTCGGTAGGCTTCCCTAAAGTATGGAGCAAGAAAGACGTCAAAGAGAGAGCCAGTGATGCCCTCTATTGTATCAGCTATTGGAAGAACGGCAATTCGTTTAGCCTCGAAGTTATATTAGATATTTATATGATACACGAGATTTGACACTTACATATTTGATATCAGGGCAGTGGTGCACCGTAATCATGTCTCCGTGCTTGACACGGAGATTATGCCTAACTACTCGGTTCATACGTGCACTGCCGTCATCAAGTTCGTCATCTGCTAGTACAATCAAAACAGTATCTTTTCGCTTCTTTCCCTTGACTAATACTGTATCACCCCTAAAAAGTTGCAAAGTCTCCATTGTATTATTTGAAAGTGCTATAACAGAGTTGTCGTCATTAAGTGCATCAGTTACCCTTTAAACGAAATTGTTAGATTTATGAGGCCTTTCTGTATCAGTAGGTTACACACATCAATGAATTGGGCTTTTTCTTCTTCTTTAGTATTGCGGTTGCCATTTCATCTGCCTAAAATCTTGTCAAATCCTGAATCCTGAACGTTAAATTTAGGTCTGATGACATACAGCCTTATGTTCGGCACCAGATGCATCGCTGGTATGGTCAGTTTTACTTCAAGCCAGTAAAATCAAAGTTCAGAATGTTTTGTGGACAAGACGCACTTTAGATTAACCTTTTTGTGGTCTCCGGAGTCGTTCGACATGATTAAAGCTTGTCTTCTTTCTCAAAGGTGGTGGATTGATCCAGCTGATATTTCCCCTCGTGTAAGGATGGTGGCCTGGATGTTGCACAGTATTTCGAGTTTTTTTTGAGGAGGTCCAAATACTTAATTGTTATGCTTTGATGGAAAGTAGAAGACTTCCACAAGGGTTGACAGTGGTGAGGTCAGTGAAAGCACTGACGACAGGCTAAGAAGCTCTTTACGATTCTATACTGCTCGCTTAACAATGTCATTTTATAATATGACACTCGAATTTGCTAAAGCAGCGCTTTCGTCAAGTAAGTAATTAAATATGTGTACGTTGACAAATGATGTCCATGACTATGCAAGACATGTAGGTCTTTTCTACCTACAGGATGAGAGTATCTATGCCTCTAGTAGTCTACTCCATTCAATGCCTCCGTCATGAATTCTTTCCATCAGCAATACCCCCACAGGTCTTCGCTTGAGTACATACTAGAAGGAGCCGTTACACAGTCATTATTTCTCCTCTCCAGCCCTCAAAATCATGGCCATTTTCAGATGTGTAGCCCCAGGGAAAAGCTTCAAATACCACTGGGTATGGAGCTCTCTTATAACGAAGAGGCTAACCAGCCGGGTGCAGTCGACTTGTGTATACCTAAGAGTTTCACTCAACCTTTCTAGTCTCCTCCGTACTCCTCCCCTGATTCATGCCACAGGCTTAACCGAAGGTCGTGAAGGAATATCAGAAAAGTCTAGATCAGGAGTGACTGTCGTTGAGGAGCCTAGCCTGGCATCCAAAAGTCGTAACGGACGTGGGGTTATCGAGTAACTCATGTGTCTCAGATGCCCTCCTGGCTAGTAGAATCGGCTTGAAAGTTAGAAGAGACAATACTGTTGACGAGTTGGAATCTGCTTTTCCAGAAGGCGGAAGGGTTATTTACTTTGCTTTCGTGGGCTTTTTGTTCGCCTGCCAGTGGGTAGCACATGTTATGTTATAACGAAGGCTTCTCTGACTGCCATTGTAGCGTTTGGTACGACAATATATTTCCTCATCCAAGGCATCATTACCGTTCTCTTGATTGTCTAATGTGTTATAGGAAGCGTGTCTTTTGACGGAGGGGGAGGCAACTCAGCCAAAATTGGATTAGGTGTCACTCAATCTCGGCTCTGCAGACCCAACAATGAGAGCTGGAGGTTCGTAGAGGACACCGCGTACAGGTGTTCACTCATTGCCCTCCTACAAGGTAAAATTTCCTAGCCAGTGCATTCTGAATACCGTCGAACTTTATAACGCCCAGAAAAGCTTAACAATTTGCAATCGAATCAATCTTGATGGTCAGACCTAGAAATATAAACCTTCATACAAACTGAGTCTTATTGAAAGGCTATGCTGAGCTGTAATGACGTACCGTTAAGATGAATGTATGGAAGGAGGTAGCTTTGGCTTCGGCTTCAAGAGAAATGACGTTCATGAATTATACTCTTACGACTTAGATCAATAAACGAACTTGAGGATATTCCCGAGTATTCTCACATATTCTTAAGTGTGTGAATAATTTGGTGATTGTCCAAATTTCCTACTGTACAAACTGCTTATATCACCTACGTGACAGGATCTTCCTCTAAATACATAAATGAGGGAGTTTCTGCACACTAATGGATGTTCCAACATATCTCCTTGTCTCACCGAGAGAATAAGGATGGGAGAGATCCTTGCGCCAGTAGAGAGAGAGATGTATATTTATTTTATTACTTGAGTGTGTGTGTTTATTGTACTACTTCAGTCTATGAATATCTAGCACATTGGGCTCCTCTCTGGCCCAGGCCAAACCTTGTACAGTGCTCCTATCCTCTTTTGTTACTTGAAAGATCATTGATATATTCCCCTTGATGAATAGCCATTCAGCTCAGTATTTACCCGTGGAATTCGGCCACCTTTTCCACGGAACCTTCTACCCAAAAAAAGTAAAAATAGTAGCAATGGAAGCTGCGTGCGCGGGAAAAAGTCTCAAGAAACCTGCAGCCCTAGCCAGGCGAGGCCTTGACACCGGGACCACATGAGGTGCGTATATCCATCTATATATCCCTTCTTTGTAACAGTCGAGGCCGACTTGATCCAATCAACCATCTCTGTATCGGATACTGGGTACGCTCCGGAAACTCATCGGATGGCTTTTCCTCCATGATCAAGGGTTGGTGATGAGTAGGGCTCCGACCCTACCATCTGTTCTGATTGTGGTTAGCTTCATAATAATGGTGATTGGGGGATGTGTAGAGAGATGAAGACGAAACAGAGTGTGCAAGCGATTGGGGATCTTCATTGAAATGGGAACTTCGTTACTCAATCTCGGCTTTGCAGACTCCAGTGTGAGGGCTGGAGGTTCGCAGGAGTAACCACTGACAGGTGACGAACCTAGTCCCCCTTTAGAGACATGTGAGGCTGTATCCGAATAGGTTGGTTGCCGAACCCCTTCCCCTTCAGTGACAAGGAGCACATGAGCTATTGTACAGTATGTTGAGCAGTAGTGTGATAGCTAGATAGTTGATTACACTAAGTTTTTTAAAAAATAGATTGAGCACAGTTAAAGCCCGCTTTCCTTCATTATCTCCCCTCCCCAGCTAACTAAACAATAGCCATTTGCGGGTGTAGATCAGCCGGGAAATTTTGCAAAAAACCACTGGAAATATTACTCTCCCATTACAGACATTAGTATTAAATGCGAAGAGAGTGTGGCACTTTTAAAGCGTTCGAAGAGATCGAACAACCAGGCACTGCAGACTTGTGAGTACCTGAGGAAGTTGAATTTCTGACTTTCTAGCCTCTTGTTTACTCTTTTCCAAAGGTCATGACCAAACGTCAGAAATTTCTTGACAGTGTGTGGTTGTTGTAGTGAAGCTTGGTCTAATATCTTCTGTGCAGTCTAGGGTACTGGGGAGTGCCGTGGACTCATCACGTCGTGCAGTGCTTCTATCATCACTTGTTACATCAAAAGTCATGGATATATTGCCTGTGATGGATAGCCATCCAGAAAATTCATTGGTTATTCGGTGGTAAAACGTGTGCGGCGCGAACTTGACCTTCCTATTGTATATATTCTTGTGAGCGAGTTACTGATATTTTTAAATATTAATGAACTAATGTGACATACTTTGAGATGTCCTCATGACTGGTTTCCTTTGAGAACGTTTGACGAGTGAATTTGGCAATTGGCGATATTTTATTCAACTGCTACATGATTTCCTGCTCTCCGCCTTGTATGCTCCTTTGTGTAGAATATTACTAAATACTGATATGGTCTGTGTTTTTACAAACGATATATCCTACCATGTCGAGGTCAAGAAATGAACTCAGGGTGACTATTTTTCGGTATGTATTACTCCTAGAAACGCTTCTCGTCATAACAAATAACTTGATTCATGCATTGAGTAAATAATCTTTTATTCACCAGTTCGCACGATTGCATTGATGTATGTAGATCTTCATTTTTCTGTGTTTCATGGAGAGTACGTTTCTCTGTTCATTTTTTGGTAAAAAAATATATCGAGCAAACGGTGAAAATTACCGGGATCGTTTATGGATATATAAAGCCTAATATCATGGCCCTAGTTATATCTGGAACCTAAAAACGAATCGACAGTCAGGAATGAACAGATTTCCACTACACTAATAACCATCTCCACATTGTCGCCTAGCAGATGTATCAAAGAACAGCAGAACTCATAGTTGGTGTATTCTTGCCATCTTGACTCTAGAACCTTTCATTTCTGAAGTTTTACATACGTTCCATCCATCAACCCCTAATCATTTTATGTGGGCTGCCAGAAAGTAGGTAAATGCAACGAACCTAGGGACCTCGTCTCACGGCTTAACTTGGTTACCTGAGATTGATCAACTTTCTGGCTGGGTCTGAGTAGGATGCAACTAATACAACCTTTTCCCGGAGATTAGTGACACCCTTCAATTATCAGTTCAGGTACTTATGAATTCGATGATGTGTCCTCCAAAATTGTGGATTAGTTTTTTTACTAGTAAGCATGCCTACTCGAGTGAATAGTAGCCTTGCGACGGAAACATGATTCATTTGAGCAGAAAATTGAATAGAGTTAGAATCGCAAAAATGAAGTTCTTCCTGCAGAATAAAAAAATTGATTACCGTGTCCATAACCGGTGAATCACCAGCAGCAGGTCGGTTACTGCCAGCAACAAGTCAAAGTTTAGCACAGTCTAGACACCTTTGTCCTTGATATCAAACATAAAACTATGACCAATTTGATGCTGTGCTAGTCGATAGGTGAAGATTTCAGAATGTCTCAACCACAGCCATGCCAATGCGCGACTGTAGCCCAGATGAAACCCGAGAAAGGCCCGTCACATCCCTGCACGGAGGAGCTACTGATACGCGGCTAGTGGGCCCGACGATCTGTCGCAAATTAATATTGTCCATAACTGCGCGAATTTGTATGTTGACGACGAAATATATCTGAACAGACGCTGCGTATTATCTTCCCCAATAATGGCGTCGACAGCGCGCAACATATTGAGGGTTTCCTCCATACCATCCAGATTTCATACTGCAAGTAAGAGGACGTACTCATTTTTTCCCCAGTCCTCAAGATACAGTTCCAAAGGACAGTCCCTCAAAAGTATTGTACTTCATCAAAAAGGATCCCATCGTACCAATGTAGATTTAGCGTCTGTCAAGAAATCTAAAGTTTTCGGCGCACTTGGGCTACTCTGGAAATTTTCATACCTCTCTGCAATCGGAGGTGTAGCCTACCTTGTATATGGTATTTATGAACTTCGGAATCCAGAAGATCAACAGGTTCCGGACACGAGTAAAAAAACTCTCGTCATCTTAGGTAACTGTGCCACTCATTCCAGTTCTGATCTTTTCTAAAATTATGCACAGGTACAGGATGGGGAGCTGTCTCTCTACTCAAGAAGCTCGATACCGAAAATTACAATGTTGTCGTCATCTCACCCCGAAATTATTTCTTGTTCACACCTCTCCTACCTTCTTGTACGACTGGAACAGTTGAACATCGTTCAATTATGGAGCCCATTAGGAGTATAACACGCCACAAAAAGACGGCTGTAAAATATTACGAAGCAGAGGCTACCAGTATTGATGCTGATCGCAAAGTTGTTCTGATTAACGATAGCTCTGATATGAAGGCAACATCTAGTCTGAGCGAGGTTCCATATGACATGCTTGTTATCAGTGTTGGGGCCGAAAATGCTACTTTTGGAATTCCGGGCGTTCGAGAGAATTCATGCTTTCTTAAGGAAATTGGCGATGCACAGCAAATTCGAAAAAAAATTATGGATTGTGTCGAGACTGCAGCTTTTAAAGACCAATCTCCGGAAGAAGTTGAGCGCCTTCTACACATGATTGTTGTTGGGGGAGGGCCTACTGGGGTCGAGTTTGCCGGTGAGCTTCAGGACTTTATCGACCAAGATATCAAGAAATGGATACCAGAAATTGCCGGCAAATTTAAAGTAACGCTAATTGAAGCTCTACCTAATGTTCTTCCAATGTTTTCTAAACAATTGATTGAATACACAGAGTCAACTTTTAAGGAAGAGAAAATTACGATCAAGACCAATACAGCTGTCAAGAGAGTCACCGATAGAACTGTGGAAGCAGAAGCTACTGGGTCAGACGGAAAGAAGAAATTAGAAATCTTACCGTACGGTCTACTTGTTTGGGCCACTGGTAACGCTATTCGCCCTATAATTAAAGATCTTATCCAAAAGATTCCTGCTCAGAAAGATTCCCGACGAGGTCTTGCTGTTAATGAGTACTTAGTCGTCCAAGGGACCAAAGATATATGGGCCGTTGGCGACTGCGCCGTCGCAGGATATGCCCCAACTGCACAGGTAGCCGTCCAGGAAGGCACTTTCCTTGCTCGCCTATTCAATACAATGGCCAAATCAGAAGCTGTCGAAACTAAAATTAGTGAACTTTCTAGCACTCTTAACTTACAGCCCGGAAATACAGCTGAAATCACCGAGGAAATCAAGCAGCTCGAGAAAAAACTGAGGCGTATAAAGCACATCAAACCATTCAACTATACTCATCAGGGAAGCTTAGCATACATTGGTAGTGAAAGAGCTGTAGCTGACATCAGCTGGCTGAATGGCAATTTTGCAACTGGTGGAGGCTTAACATACCTTTTTTGGAGGAGTGCGTACCTAAGTATGTGCTTTAGCAGTAAGTGATCTCTATTACTTCAAAGATTTAAAAACTAAAAATTAATAGCTCGTAATCGTGTTCTTGTTGTTCTTGACTGGATGAAATCCAAAATTTTTGGTCGTGATGTCTCACGAGAGTAGATTTAAATTACTAAACCTTGAAAAACAGGAGGAGGCTAGCTGTACCAAGAATATGTGGGGTAATGGAACATGAACGGCGTAGTTAAAATTTTACTAATGACTGAAAATTTTGAAGTTCTAATATCTTTGTATTAAAGGCTATCGTATTTGCCTGACTGTTCATGTATCCTCTCTTAATTTATAGCGATATAGCTAAACAGGCTCACAGATCAATATTTGCCGCTTAACACTTGTCTTGGCTGCAAAATTAGTAACCTAAAATGACTATTCCTTTCCATGCTCACTCATCCTCATAGGCAGTTTTAATGACACGATCCATAAAAATTAAGGGGTTTCAAATTAAAATTATTTATATCTCATGTAAGCCTATGATCATCAGAGAATCAAAAATTAAGTATTAGTGTCTCCTTAAAAGCTTTAATATTCAGCAGTGGCAGAACCCTAATAAAACAATATGACCTACGATATCGCTATCTACTTACTTTGCATTGATAATGTGACGGAAGCCGAGTTGGTGATGAACAAATCGATTTATTAAACTATATCAACAGAAAAGAAATCTCTATCTACTATTAACAGGTATTTATAAGAATTGGTCCCCTTCGTCAATTTGCTGACTGATAACTTTCCCCTTGTCCTAATATTTGCTGCTGAGTCACGTACTAACAGGAGCCATTACGCTATGTTGTTGCTTCAACCTCCTGGCTAGTAGTGCCATTTTATCTATATATGTCCATCCCTCCTCTTTCAGTGGTGCCAGTGTAATCGCTCAGTATGGTCTACATGTCTGGGATAGCCAAGAATAACCGCAACCGACTCGAAGTCGAACGCAACCTTATGCATATCTTCACTTGACGAATTCTCGATAATGCCTCTCTTACCATTCTTTTATGAGTTCTCAACCTCTTTCTAACCACAAACCACCTCGCCTCAACGACTGATAAAGGCATTACTCCAATTGCAAACAGGAGTTTGCTCCATTAATTGCCAAACACCTCCCACTACAAATTTACGACGCTACGTATACCTGCAAGGAAGAAATAAAGTCATAACATACAATTCTCAGGAAATGGTTTGTCTGGGACTGATATTCTAGTGGGACAAACAACATGAGGGAGAACAGACGGCTGAGATGTTGAGCGAGAGTGGGAACAGGTCTTTGAAGATAATGCTGGGACTGCTGTTTTCGAGGTGTTTTCAACATTGAAATGTTTGTAGGCGCCAACATCAAGATTCCGGCTAATTAGCCAGGAGGGCTTCTATCGTCGACGAGTCAACGGAACTCCCCAGTACTCCAGACACCACAAAGAAGTTAGGCTAAGCTACCATACAGTAATCACGCTCTGTCAAGATTTTTCTGAAATTTCAGCACGACCTTCGGGAGGGTGTTGGAAGGAGGCTAGAAAGTTAGAAGGTGAATTCTCCGAGGTACCCATAAGTCTGCAGCGTCCAGTTGGTCGGCCTCTTCGAACACTTCAGAAGGATCACTACATCTTCGGATTTAGTTCTGATGTCGGTATCAGAAGAGCCCTGCACTCGGTGGGCTTTGCGATTTTTCCCCGGCTGCCATACACCCGCAAATGGCCATCGTTTTGTTGGCTGGAGAGGGGAGATAATGAAGGGCTAAGGGCTCCTCTTAGTGTATGATCTAATGAGGACTTGTGAGGGGTGGTACTGTTTGAGGGGAGCTGTATTGGAGGCATAGGAGGGGATATACTACAGGTATAGGTATCCTTGGCCTGTAGGCGGAGAGGACCTGCATGTCCTACATAGTCATAGACTCAGACAGGACAATAAAATGAATTTAAAAAAATACCTTATTCCTAACAATATCTATTCTGGTCAAAGTCTCAGGAAGTCTGCAAGTATGACCTAGGACATCCTTACTTTAACGAACATACTTTTCGTCAAATTTGTCTTTGGCCTCAAATGACTTCCACATACACGCCCAAAAGAATACGGATACCCACCGGAGGATACAGATGGTGGTGTACAAATCTGGGAGGCAGGTAATTTGGGATGGACGCGAGGGAGATATATACAAGTAGACAAGATTATGCCAGCGTTGAATAAAGTTTACAGGGAAGTGAGATTTTAAAAATTTTAAGGAAATTGTTTTAAAAATTGAGCTTTGTGCGTGCCAAGTCTTCAGTTGAGAGAGTGCAGGCGATACTATAAACATCGCTATAGTTGGATGGTGCAGTGGTACATCATCTAGTCCGGTCTCCCAAGTAGATTCTGGATAGCTTGGACACATATCCCACTTGGGACAAGAGATGGCTGGTTGGAGCCCGGCGAAACACAACCACATTTCTCACGGTGCTGATTTGCATAGATCATGAAGGCCTGCTGGGATAATCAATAGTCTTGAAATTCCCTGTGGGGTGTACTTACGGAGGAGGGTCGAATGTTTGTGTGAGCAAGCATATCTAATAGTGGTTTTAGCAATTAAAATCCAGAGTAGGATAGCCTCTAACGACAATGAAGTCATCCAACGTGTATATTAGCACAAAATATGTGATATAGCTAGATAGCTGAATGTAGGTTAAATGATATCAACAAAAGACTTCGCCATTTTTGTAGTATTGAGGCTTTCGGGGCCAACTATCCGTATCAAGTTTATTAATTCGCCGGGCTCTTGCTTAGCACTTAAATAACAGTACAAAGAATACAATTTTTCTGAATTAAACCTTAGCGGAATCAAAACATCCCGCGCTTTACCACGATGATATATTTCAAGTTGCTTTTAACCGGAAAAAGAGAATTAAATTAAAATTTCTTTTATAAAAAATAACTAATTATATATTCAGGTACCTAGCTATGACATGATATTAGAGAAAAGGTACAGAAAAGATGACACAATTTAGAGGTAGAGTACTCGTGCCTTGGATTTCATTTGCACGTACCACTGCGAAGCTATGGTGGCTTCTACTTCACCCCAAGACAACTCTCATCTGTGAATTCCTACTCAGGGAAACGTCTCAAAGACTCTGAGTTATCCAGACATGCCTCCATCATCTATTTAATTTCCTCCGCATGAAATATACTCTGAGGCGTCTCCTTCCCAAGTGGAGTAAGTATCCCGGCTACTCAAACTGTACCGGAGAATACCACCAGGAGGCGGACCACAGCACCTTCAACGAGTACTTAGAACTTGTACCTTGTCCCACATAGATGACCCGAGTTTCTCTGACTTTATATTCATATTGAATAATGTCAACTACAACCTTCCAGAGAACTCGACCTTATCGCGCCGAAGCACAAAATTCTCCTCGGCATCGGTCATCAAATACCTGAGATGTCGTACTTTTGGGATCTTGAATTTCCTCTCTTTTCAGTCTCAGTACTGTTCGTCTGAGAATATTTTCGTTTTATGCAGGGTTCGTTTTATTATTGGATGTCTCATCCAACCGTCCGCCAAAGCTATTTATGCCTTCCTTGTGCATACCTCTATTTCAAACAACTTGTCCTGATAAAAAGTAGACCAAGAAAAGACGGCAATAAAAGAATGAATATTTATTCGTGACGGGCACAAGCTCTGCACTCAAAGAGCATGACATGGAGAAGGCGAGTCCTTCCCCGACGATTGTAAATGACGATGACTTCGTTTGACATTTGGACTACTCATATAGTGGGTGCATTCACTGATACCACTCGAGACCTTGTTGCTAAAGACTTTCACCCTTCCCTCAACCGTTAATATCCACCAAAAGGAAAACATGAAAAATCTTTGGCTACCCTAAAATGCCTTTGCAATCTTGTATATAGCCGCCGCTCGAGATATGGCCTCAAAGTCCTCCCTTTCTCGAGTGAGGTAGGTTTCCAGGCTACCCAGTCTTTAATTCGGGGAGATGACGACCAGGAGGCGGACTAAAACACCTTCCGTCGTTGTCTGTTCTTAGAGTGTCGATTGCACTATTCGAAATCGTTGCTTCTGCGCCCATGGACACCCCTAACTTGAAAGCACTTGAAAAATGTGCGTCCCAGAATGCTCACATGAGGCCTTATCACTCGTTCGTACTACGTCCTAGCTGCCTGTTCTTCCTCAAGATATGAAACTCCATTAGAGCAACGATTCCCCTAATGATTAAGACCCGAGCTTTGTAGTTTATGACTTAAATTACTCATCGCGGGTATACATAACATTGTAACTTTATGGTGGAGGATAGCGTATTTTTGATGAGAAAAATTACCAACTGCAATTGGAGTAACGCCATTATCGGTAGTCGAGGCGAAGTATTGTAGAAAGATCGAGGTAGAGCACTCGCGTGAGAATGAAAAGTCCAGCATTGACCAGAAGCCGTTGTTTTTAGGTATACTAGACATTACTCTAGACTTTGATTCGGATGCGATTCTTCTTGGCTATCCCAAATGTGCAGAGCATACTGAGCGATTACAACGGCACCACAGGAAGGTGAAGAGTTTATTTTTTCCAGCGAAAGGGCAGCTATAATGACGAATTCTAAAATACCTCTATTGTAATTTTGAAATGTTTGGTAGACAGTGAAACAACTCTTGGGACGATTTTGAGAAAAATTTCTTTATATTCTCCTCCAGATAATTGGAAGATAGTTGAAGGTTTCTGATGTTTCTCAAACGATTGTGACAAGTTTTGATTCTATCTACAGCTCACACTGTAGGGAACAGCGATTAATGTTGTTATCTTGTAATGACAGGATCAGGTTTCGATTTAGTGGAATTTTATAGGTTCGTAGTGCACACAATAAGAATTTATTTGGCCTTTGTTATCTCCTATCTTCAAAGTATAAAGAGAAAAAACTGTAAAGCTTGAGAGATTATCATTTTTCAATTTTACTTTCCCCTTCATAGAAAATAGCCACAACCTGTGCCTCCGCATAACTTTTGAAGATAACGCTTGGCATTCAAAATGTGTTAAGGCAGCTCTTTTCTGGTCAACTTTTGCGTGTTCACCAGTTTTTTATTTTGGTAGTAAACCAGACCTCTCCAAGTTTATTCGACTTGCAGTAATCCTGGTTCGT